ATACATTTAAAACTGCAAAAATAGAATTTATTCTCTTCTGTAACTGTTTACCTGTATTTGGAAAGTCTGTCTGTCTATGACTAAAAGGTATTCAATCATTACTGATTCAGATCTGACTTTACTAATTTGCCAGACTGCTATAATTGTTTCCATTGTTTTCCATCTTTCTGTTTCTGTTTATCTCAAGTCGACTCAACCTCTGTAGTGCCTGGTCTGCTGTCCATATTTCATGAACAGGAGCTGTCAGAGACTATCCATGACACAAATGGGCATGGATATCTAGCTACATTTGTTGGCAAGAATGGGCGGTAAGCAAAGCATGAAAGCAACTGTGTATGATGCTGATGCTGAAGAATCCAGAGCAGAGACTTTTTCATTCTCCGTCATCTTGACCGACAGTATTAAAAAAAAAAATCAGTCATGTTCTATTTTTACCCATCAAATTATAATCATACTAACATAGACTATACTTGGCTGCATTTTTATGCGGTTTAGTTAATATTTATCTAGTTTAACCGAAACCAGATCCCATCACACATAAAGCAGAAAAATGCATCTATCTTTATTTCCTCAAGATAAACAGCCAGCTCCTCTGTTTAGACTTTAGGTGGATTAGCACAATGTTGCAATCTGAACTTGAATTAAATGCGCCATTTCTACCAAATGTTTGGAATGCGCTTTCTAACCAGACGCTCCAAAGGGTCCGGTCATAACTCAACACGCTGTCTGCTCCCGGTCAGAAAGACACATTTAGCTCGGCGTCCATGAGATGATATTCAGAAAGGATTTTTTTTATTGACTGATTTTAGTTGCTTCTGAAATGAACTCTTTGCGTAAAATCTATAAGGTCTGCGCATGTGCACCAGTTAAGGATGTTAATCAAAACCTGTCAAAATGGAAGTTTAAACTGATTCTTTCTCAGAACCAACTGGGAAAACCCAGGTCAAATACTCAATGTGTTTTTACTTCTGGGTGTTTGACCCAGAAGCAAACTTTTGAAAAGTACAATTTAAAGTACTTTGTGAGTGAAATCCTTTACTCTGAACAGAATTTAGTGATTTAGTATGTTCAGAAATTGAAAGGTAAACTGAGAGGATTCTTAGTTTCACATTTATTTTAAATATTTTCTTAAATAAACTGATTGGATTTAGCAAGGTTAGTCCAGTGTGAATGTCTGTATTTAAACCTTCAGGCTACTGTCCCCTGAATACCTTGGAAGTAAAAATCGTCTCTATTGGAGTAGAAGTGGGGTCAGACGTTGTAGTTTTATGTTATAGGTGGAGTATCATCTCAACAATAAAAGGTTTTATAACTGCGTTATTAAATCTTGTTTGCTAGGCTTGTTGTTCTGCGTGTGCACTCCCATGGATTGGTCACCATCGATCTGCAGTGTCATGAAGATGACAACATTGCACAGCTAGACAATGTAAGCGATCAAAAGCAAAACATAAATGTGGAGTTTTCAATATTAAATTACTGTATTTCAAGCTTGTCATGGCATACAGTTTAAAATGCAAGACTTTATCTGAACAGCACAGACCTTTTTTTATTTCCTCCACAGCTTTTAAATGCACTGGAAAAGAAGTTAAAAGTTCTGTTAAATGGAAATATTAGAAGGATTAAAAGGTAAGGGTCCTGGTTTTCATGACGTGTTTCCATTTTGGATGTTGTAACTTGTTATTTTCATTTTCCCTCCAGGCTTCCAGCCTTAGTGCGAGGAGCAAAAGTTGACCGATACTGGCCCACAGCTGATGGCAGACTGGTGGAGTATGACATTGATGAAGTGGTTTACGAAGAAGATTCTGCATACCAAAACATAAAGATCTTGCACTCACGGCAGTATGGAAATATCCTAGTCCTTGATGGAGATGTCAGTAAGTATATATATGAACTAGTACACACAAGAAAGCTCATTTAGACATCTGATGACTCAAGGTAACAAAGGAGACAAATGAAGACCTTATATTATATTTCTGTTCATTAATACAAATGGACAAATGTGCCCATTATTAGTAACTTCAGCTTCACTGAGAATAACTTTGCACAAAACTGCACCTTGTTTGTTAATAATTGTACTTAACTGATGGGTAAATGTTATATTATTGCAGACTTGGCAGAAAGTGATTTGGCGTACACTCAAGCCATCACAGGTAATGGAAGAGAGAATTATGCAGGGAAGGAGGTGCTGATATTAGGAGGAGGTGATGGAGGCATCCTCGCCGAGTTGGTCAAACAAAAGCCAAAGATGGTCACCATGGTGGAGATATCCTTTTGAGATTGTGTTCTGTTGTTTCTGACTTTCAACACCCAAAATGAACGTAAGTCGACATCTTAACCTGACTCCTCCTTGACGAGGCATGCACATTGACCAGAAGGTGATCGATGGATGCAAGATGTACATGAGGAGGACTTGTGGCAATACCCTGGACAACCTGAGGGGCGATTGTTACCAAGTGAGTGCTGGGAAAATAATGATCTACTGGGGAAAATGTATTGCCATCTCACAACTGTGATGCGAAACAGTTTGGTACAAGTAATGTTTTTATTATTTGCTTCTTCAGTTTAAATATTTTTGTAGCGTTGTTAAATAACTCAGGTGTAACTGACTTTGAATAGATTTATTTTAACAATAATGTATTTATTCCTGTTTGTATAAAACCAGATAATTGTGCATAACCTAGTTCATGTATGCTGAAGATGCTTCCAGTGTTAAATGTTCATTTTTATGTGTACGCATGTTGTACACATAACAAAAAGGTTTTTTGTTGAGCAAATTGTGAATGTTAAATACCTAAAGGTAAGGATTTTACTGTCATCAACATGTGTTGCGAATTGCAGATTCTGATTGAAGACTGTGTCCCCTTGCTGAAGAAGTATGTCCAGGAAGGAAGAACATTTGATTATGTAATTAATGACCTCACTGCAATCCCAATATCTACTTCACCAGAAGAAGGTTCCTGCATATCCATTAATCCATTGCACAATCTGTGGCTATATTTGCATAATATAGAGAAGTCGTGTTTGGTCTTTTCTCTGAAACTGTGTGCTCTTTGCAGACTCTATGTGGGAATTCCTACGTCTCATCTTAGATCTGTCAGTGCGTGTCCTACACCCCAAGGGGAAATACTTTACACAGGTCAGTTGGGTTTTTATCACTTATACTGTTGCATGATGAAACAAATATCATAACTAAACTCCTCTATTCAAATGGCAACAAGATGGAAATAAATATCGGTTGCTAATATCGGCCCAGTTTTAATTATCGGATCGATACTGATAAATTGAAAAATGACTAATATATCAGCTGATATCGATAGAGATAGAATGCAGTAAACTTTTTTCTTTTTTTATTCGTGCATCATAACTTTTCTCTTCCATTTTTACTCCATCAGGGTAACAGCGTGAATCTGAAAGAGGCGCTGAGTCTATATGAAGAACAGCTGGGAAAGCTCTCATGTCCTGTAGATTTCCGTAAAGAGGTGGTGTGCGTTCCCTCCTACCTGGAGCAGTATCCTTTATTTTTACCCCCAATCATGAGTTTAAATGGTGACGTGCAGTTCAACAGCTTATAAAATCACTAATATTGAAAAGAGTCTTTTTGTTTGCAGCCCTTAATCATCCTTTCAGATGGGTTTTCTATACTGCATGGAAGAAGTGAAGACTTCCAGTTTTCTCTAAGATTCCGAGCAGCTGGAATGTGAACGTTTGAATTCCCTTCTGCTTTTCACTTCGGCTTGAATGTGTGGTCAGACCGAACATGACATGAACACGGAAGGCTTGGAAAACGATAACTAAATAGTTACTGACTTGTTCGTAAGGTTTGTCACATCAACCATTAACGTAGATCTTAAAAGTATATCTGTTAATATAAAGACGGCTTCTTGGTGACGAGTTGTGATTAGATCAAACTTTAAGGCTCTTCTTGGATATAAACAGGTTTATTATTAAGGTTTATGAAGCTGTTTTACTCTTATCTGACAGAAAACATCATTGCTGTGTATGCTTATTTTCTTGAGTTAATACAGTGAGTTTCGTCTGAGACTGAAGGAATTAGGTTGTTTGAGGTGGAGCCCTCATCTTAATGCTCTGTTCTTAAGCTTGATCATCCTGGTGAAGTAACACTTGGAGGGAATAGACAGACTTCAGTGTCCATTGCGAACCCAGCAAGTTTTTGTTTTGTGATGGTGAAACACTCCACCCTATTTTAAGCCGGTTAATGTGAAAAGGAACATGCAAAGGTTGCTATAAATTCTGACTGATCTTGTTTGAAGGTGCACATGAATAATATTTTTATCATTGCCATTGAATCCTTCTCCTGCTCCTTAGGTTTTGATCGTTTTTTCACTGTTTGCTGCAACTATTTTTGTGTTATTAGATTTGACCTTCACTTGCATGTCTTCTGAAGAAACTTTCACAATTTATAAACACTGATTTGGTACACTGATATTGTGGTAACTTTGCCCACCATATGTGTGTACTCTTACTTTAAACCTTGAGTTGTGAACCTGGTGTAAGTTTTTTTTTTCTCTCCTTGTGTTTCTGCCACTGAAAAACGATGCAGCTCTTGCAGACTGTATCAAGGCAGCGTGGTTCATCCCCAGTGAGTGCTAAGTGTTGTAGTTTTAAAAGGGAAATTATTCCTTCTCACTGTTGCCACCTTTGTGCTAGTGCTGGTTTTTATGTTCTGTTTTTAGCACCTTTGATTTCTCCCGATATATTAAGTATATTGGGTGCATGCTGGGGACTGTGAATGTAGCTTACATATATATATAGTACACAGCACATTAGATGGACCCTCTGGGACATTTATTTATTCATTACAAACTCACCAAATGCTGTTCTGATCAACTGTTTGACCATCTACAATTAAAGAGTTTTGGGGGAAATGATTTGTTTTTTTTGTTTTCTTAAGTTTCATATTAATAGCAAAAAATACTAAATGTTTGGAGCTGTGAAGTAAATAAGTTACAGCACACATTAACAATCTAAAATACAAATGTTATCTGGAAGTAAATAAATAATTTGTATATTAAATAAAGATTATGTAAAAATAAGCACAAAAATAGCTTTAATGTTTAAAAAAATATTCAACTTTAGACTTAGAATTTCTTAGAAATCAGTCAACGAATACATGTGACAGAGATGAACAATACATAAATTTTTTCTGGAAAATGACATTATATGCAGGCATTTAACAGGCTGCTAAATGTAGGTCAGGACCCCCGTCGACTCCGGAGTTGACTGTTGATCTCATTGAGAACTACATCTGTCCTCGGTTCTTCATCAGCTGTAATTATTCTGTCTTCAAGTGGATTTCCTGCAATGTACCACAATATTATTTCTAATATGTTGGCAAATGAATAATAGCTATTAATCCTGTCCACAATTATTGGCAACTATGGTAAAGATAGACAGAAGGCAATATTTTATCAGAATCCTATTCATTCATATTCAGCATGTAAGGATCATGTTGAAATCACTTTGCTGCCACCTGAAGCTCAGAGCTTTTCTTAAATTAAGTGTATTTTTGCCAGTATGCATAACATTGAACCCACTGGACATGTCTGGTACGTTTCGCCGAAGCTCATTAGGTGAAACCAAGACATGCTCAGGTTCTATCCGTAGGACAAAGATTCAAAACAATAAACAAATTGTTGCCAATAGCATTGGTAAACATGATTTTATGTGCAATTTGAGATTTTTCCTGACAGAATGACCTCCGATTAATAATTATTTGATTATGTGTGAGATTATTCAGCAATAATATTTATTTTCAGGTATTTTACATCCTTAGTAGGGATGCTGATGCATATGGCGTGCTGGGTCAGTCAAAACTTATTACAGAAGGCATAACATTGTCAAAGTAGAAATTCTTTCTTACCAATGCCGCTCATCTGCCCTGATGGCGTACTGGGCAGAAAAGTGGATCTGGATGGCCGACTGCTTTGTGAGGATTTTGCGGTTTTCTGTGTTGCAGTGCGACTCCACTCTAAAAGAATTAGGAGAGAAAAAAAGGTAAGAAAATGAAAGGTTTTATTTATTTATTTATCTTTAAAAAAATGCATTGAAAACTAGCTTCTGAGTCTTGGATACACTGTTTTTTATCTAGACTCACCTGAGTTTTCTGGGAGTCTCATACTGCCGCAGCATAGGTAGGTCCTCCACTGCCTTCTCACGGTTTCTTTTGCCGCACAGTGGAACACAAAAATGAAGAATCCTGCAAAATATAAGAAAAATTTTTTTGGGAATCAGCAAAGTTTAACTTTCTCTTTAGGATACAGGAAAGATGTAGGGTTCAACGACTCACCTTGCAGAGAATTAAAGATGGCAAAGAGGTACATAAATGCCAGATTAACAGGACCCCATGCAAAAAAGGCAAATCCCCATGTGAGCCCTAGGAGGAGGGTGATGCCGATAACGCTGCGGGCGTCCTGCGCCGTGCTGCGGTGCTTGTTGTTATGAGGATTCTGTTTTTTTATCCGGTGCAACTGGACTAAGACCACACCAAACATGATGATGTTGAAGATGAAAATCACACCGAAATAGGCCACAACTGCCACGTAGAAGGCAATGTCGTTTTTTATCCAGCAGCTGCAAGACAACAAGGAGGAAGAGTGCATAAGCTATTTATTATTAGTGATTTCATATGTAAGTTTAATCAGGGATAAAAAGGGTATAAACCTTAATGTATTAGAGAAGTATTGCAAAGAGGACAGGTCACAATTTTTCCTTGATAATGTAGCTTTGGGCCTTATTTGTGTATCATCAACTGAGACTTGAAATCTGATGTAAGTTTGGACTCCTGAGATTAAATTAGACTAATTTTAAAACTTGTTAAAGACCAGAGTATTTCTATTCATTATCCCCTGACACATAACAGCTAAACTTAAAAACATCATGGTTTATTTTCCAGTGATTTTAGTTATGAGTAAAGCCACTTTTAGCTTACTGAACTTACAAGTCATCACTTGTGCCATCTGGAAACTTTCCATAGGACATGAGGCCGTAGATGTTTTTATCAATCGCGATCACAATGATGACCACTATCATTGGGACTCCCCAGCCCACCAGCGAGAACTTCAGCATGTAGTGGGATATGTTGTCATTGAAGACTTTCACAAGTGCGTAGTACATGTGGACGCCCTCGAGCCCCATCCAGGTGAAGGAAACCAGTAGGAAGTAGTGAAGGAACCAGGCCGTGGAAATGCAGAGGCCCACGGCTTTGGGATAAAGTGCCAGCCAGGCGTCCACCAGGAAGACCAGGTTGAGCAGCAGAAGAGCCGTGCAAAGCTGGATCAGAATTTTGGATGGGATGTCTTTACGCAGCTTTCTGTTGGCATGAAATGATTTAGACATCAATCACTGATACTTCAGTTAAAAGTCGTTTTGCTAGCTAAAATTATTTTACCTTCCCACGTTTTCTTCAAATCAAACCACTGACAGTGAAATTTACTGAGATTTTGCACTCACAAATAAAAATCTGAAAACTTACGCATCGGCATTTAGCGTCTTTCAACCCTAAACTAAAATCCCTGTGACATACATTTACAAGCCCTTTTACTGGGTTAAACAAAGAAAACAATGCATCAACTCACCCAAATGCCAAGTAAGTGAGGAGAGTTACGGACAGGAAGATGGCAGAAAGTCCACAACCTATATATGTGATGAAGGTGAGGATGGTGGCCTGAACACGACTGACAACAGTCTCTCTGGAGATGTCCTTAAAGAAATCAAATAGAAGACATTAGAATGACATTCATGTTTGCTGTTGTTATTAGACACACAGAGGTGTGAAATCTTGCAACAAGTAATTGTGCTTACCAGTAAAATAGCAAAGCTGGTTAAATGGTTGCAGGCACAAACTGTCTCATTGTCGTTGGTTTCTTTGACAAAGCAGCCATCTGAGTTCCAGCCACCTAAACCTTCTGCAGGAACAACAACAGTTTCAGAAATGCAGCCTCATCTCAGTTTTTAGGCATGTATGTTTGTATTTTTTTTTAACTTACTGTTAAATTCAAAGTCCCAGAAAACACACACTGCCACAAAATTAGCCTGAAGTTTGGAAAAAGAAGAAAGGTTTCAGTTTCCAAATAAGTATTGTTTAGCCTAAGTCTGGAAAAAAGAAGTACTTAGCAGTTTTTTATTCTAATAGGCACCTGATCTCCTTTATTGAGTATTTCCTGTTAGAATTAGACTTACTGGAACAGGTTCTGTGTTTCTCAGGCGGATTACAACACTTTCCTTTAATCCTTTGATTGACAGATTGGCCACGCTTGCTCCCAAGATCCCACTGTTTAGTTTGCGTTGTTCTAATGAGACATCCTGTGTTTTCATGTAGAAAACACACAAATTGTTAGTTTGTGAGAAAACTTCAATTGTACATTTTTCTATTATTTGCCATCAATTTATTTCTTATTTTATTTGATATCAATGACACGGGTTGACTGAATAGACCTTAAAGACTGAGCTCTTCTGGTAGAAATTGAACTGAAGCCTGGAGACCAGCTTTTGTTCCTCAGCGGTTAGATTTTGAGTGAGGGAGGGAGGAAGAGTAATCGAGCCCTGAGGGATGGAGGAGTCCTTTACTGCGCTCCTTTTCAACCTTGGATTCCCCCGAACCTGCAGCACAAAGGGGAAAATAGATCTTTCTCAATAATTTATTTTTCACAATACAATAGCACTATAATTTTACCAACAGAACCTAAAAAGTGCAAATGTGTAAAAAGCTTGGCAAAAGTGTGCTAGACCTGAGTTATTATTTATGTTTTTTCTCACATTTTTAAGCGCTGGGAAAAAAAATATGCCTCTACTTGAGTGACCACCGTCTCACCTGTACATTGTTTGGATCTAAGATGGAAAAAATTGCCTCCTGAAAGTTGGCGCCATCTGCTGGTTTCACAGAGACAGCCAACGAAGGGTACAGCAGGCTCTCAGCAGTGTCTCCAATCACCAACTTTAACCCCACCGTGTCAACAATCCCAATGATCCTGATGGAACGAAGGAACTGGTTAGTGTCATGCATAATGACTAATCTATTTAACTATTAACAATATTTAATTACAAAAAATTGTAAAAAAAAAAAAAGAAGTTATGATTATATGTTTAGCATACAATTAAAACCTATAATGTACACTACCAGTAAGTCAGCCTAAATATTCCTGTTTTAGGTCAGTAAAGATTATTATCCTGTGTGTGGTGAATATCCACTTCTGACTTTGAAGAAATTAATAAAAATTCTCAAAAAATATTGTATTTTATTCTGACATTTAGCAAATAATAATAATGATAATTTAGCAAAAAACAATAATATAGCAGTATGTCGAATTTCAACATTAAAACAAAGTGGAGTTTATTTGCATGATCAAAACTTAGAATTAGACATTTTTCTAAATGTGAAAGTGTTGGAAATAGTTGAATAACCTGTCAGAGGAGCGCGACAGCGTGTCAGGTGAAGCATCCAACAGATTGCTGACAATGTTGACGGAGACGTCTCCCAGTTCTCTGCTGACAGTCGGGCCTGACAGAAGGTTTTCTAGCTGTGACACCAGCTGATCTATCTGCTCTGCGGTCAATTTTGACACGTCTTGAGCCAGTGCAAGAAGGTCTTTGGCTTGGCTTTCAGCTGCAGTGAACAAAATAAAAAAGATCACTGTTATCTTCCCAGAAACCAAAGGAGCAAACACAGAAAGAACAGTTCTGCTGAAATGCACAGAAGAACTATGTTAATTAGTTATTATCATATTTCCTGAGCAGTCTAGATGTTGCATAAACCAAATACTTCTAATCATTTTATACATTAGACCGTCACCAACAGTGCAATACAGTGGTGGCACCCTAATACAGTGGAATGTTTTTCATTTTTTATTAGCAAGATCATTTGACATTTATCAGAAATTAAAATTTATTTTGAAAAGGACCAACAGCACAAAACAACGACAACTGTGAAGTTGTTCATGTGGAAGTTTACATATTTAGACTGGTTAAGTCAAAGCCCAAATGCAAATTAACATAAAAGTCAATACAACAACATAAGCTGGAAAAAAAATATGTGGCAACAAACCTGTTCCATTTCCTGTTGAACTCACTGAGGTGGTCACAGAAACAAATCCACTTGTTGTGCTTCTAGTTGTGTTTGATGAAGGTTTTCCTCCAGCAGCAGTTGTGGACACTGATGGGGCCCGTGTTGTGTTCTGTTGTGTTTTTGGGGTTGTTGTTGGAGTCAATGTGTTGTTGTTTGGTTGTGCTGTTGGTTTCACTGTTGTCACATTTGTAATAACTGTCACATTTGGGCCAATTGTAGAGTTTGTAGAAATTGTGGCATTTTGGCTAGCTGTTGTATTTGGGCTAGCTGTTGTATTTAGATCAGTCACATTTGGACTAACTGTTGTATTTAGGCTAAGTGTCACATTTGGGCTAGCTGTTGTATTTAGGCTAAGTGTCACATTTGGACTAGCTGTTGTATTTAGGCTAAGTGTCACATTTGGGCTAGCTGTTGTATTTAGGCTAAGTGTCATTTGGACTAGCTGTTGTATTTAGGCTAAGTGTCACATTTGGACTAGCTGTTGTATTTAGGCTAAGTGTCACATTTGGACTTGCTGTTGTATTTAGGCTAAGTGTCACATTTGGACTTGCTGTTGTATTTAGGCTAAGTGTCACATTTGGGCTAGCTGTTGTATTTAGGCTAAGTGTCACATTTGGACTTGCTGTTGTATTTAGGCTAAGTGTCACATTTGGACTAGCTGTTGTATTTAGGCTAAGTGTCACATTTGGACTTGCTGTTGTATTTAGGCTAAGTGTCACATTTGGACTTGCTGTTGTATTTAGGCTAAGTGTCACATTTGGACTTGCTGTTGTATTTAGGCTAGTCACGTTGGGACTAATTGTCACATTTGGGCTAGCTGTGGTAGGTACAACACATTGTTCTTTCAAATGTACAACAACATTTTCTCCAGTTTGGCTGCAATGAAAAAGAAGTAAAACACTGTATTATTTGAAAGCATTTCAGTTTCAATGGTACATGTTTCAGAAACAACCATGTAAAGATGGTTGCATGATTGCAACTATCTTTGCAACCAAATTACCAACTAATACTGAGTTGGTAATTTGGTAAAACTTTACTTTTAGTCTAAAGTAAGATCATACGAACCATGTGAGGAGGTTAGATCCCTCTATTTCCACACAAAAGTCATCTGGGCTTATTTCATTGTCAGTATAATTGAACTGGAAGTTGAGTGAGTTGGCAGTAATTTCTGCGCTTCCACAAATTGCTGCAAGACAAAGTAAAAGCTACATTAAATACACAGCGTTCTTGTTATTTTTAGCCTGAATCAAATTTTAGTGAATAGATTGAGATACTTGCCTGCTCGTCTCACTTGGCCGTCATACTGGATCTTTTCTTCAAGTAGAAACAAATTTAAGACAGCTTCTGCCACTGAACAAATTGAGACCTCCTGTGCAAAACCTAGTATCACTCTGCAACTCAGCCTTCAATAAAAAGAAAATAATAAACATATAAGCATGCAGGTGACTCTAACACAATTAGTATATCAATGAATTTGCTGGAGCCCTCTTTTACACAGATTACGGCAATAAATTAGAATATGTGTTCAGATGAGGCTCATTTTTGACATGTCAGCTGGAAAAACAAAACAAACTTTAACTTCTATAATACCCGCACTTTTGTATTGAAAATGTTTTTATTGGTGTGATGTAATATTTCAATCCTAAATATATTTTTTTCAAAAATAAAGGCTTGAAAACATCAGTCTGCATGTAATTACCAGGTAATCTATATTTTATTTTGTGTAGGGTTCTTCAGCTCATCTGCTTTGCTGAGTGACCAAAATTTAGAGGTTAAGTTGGGTGATTTGCAGGCCAATCAAAGCATTTATACAGGTGTCATCAAATCAACTACATTTTGCAGTGTGGGCAGGTAATAAAATCCTATAAAATGAAGCTACATCAATAAAGGTCTTACTTCATTCCAGTCACTTCACAGTCCACACTGGAACTCTGAAATTGTATAATTGTGATATTAATAAACATGCAAAAAATTTAAATTACACACGTGATCTCTTAATTTTGCATTGTTGGATAATTTTAAATATTTATTACTTTGTGATACTTGTTTGTTATATTTTTGTTTCTTAAAATTATACCTGATAAATTTAGCACATTCTAACACTTTAATGACATTTATGAAATTTAGTCAGGAGATATTCAGAACTTGACATTTTGGCAGTATTATTGAGCTTTAGCTTCTACTTACCCTGTACTCAGATGCAACTGTGGTCAATAATTGACATGTAACACTGCAACAAAACATTAAACATTTCAGATGTCAGTTAGCATGACTATGTTTTTCTGTTTTTGAGTTTTATTGTTCGAAACAAACAGATAATTTTATCTTTGCGAAATGAAAATTTCCAGAAAAAGTATTGTTACAACCCAAAAAGCAAAACATACTTTGTAGTGACAGAGCAGTCAGGTGGGTGTGTCAGGTTTGACATCTGTAAATGTAAGTAAATATTATGATTTTATACAACAAGAGAGTGTAACAAGAGTAAATAATAAACAAGGTGTAAAAACGGAGGTTACCAGGGATGAAAGAGATGAAGAGTTCATTGTTGGATCTCGAACTGAAATGGAAAACGTGTAGTACGCATCTGAAAACAAAAACACAAATTACATTGGAAATTTTGTATTGATTTTGATAACAATTAGAGGCAATAATTTGACTGATGAAATGCTAACCAGATCTGTTGCAGTAGGAAGAGCAGCTACAACTGTTCTCTAAAAAGGGAAGAAGAAAAAAATACATAAAAATCTAAATACTATATGCATTTTAAATATAGATTAAATAAATACCTCACCTGTCACACAGTTTGTTAAGTTTATTGGTGGAATGACATATGCAGGCCCAGACTCCACACTGATAAAAGACAAACATTATATTTTGTTACATTTGTTCATTGATACCAACTCTTTGCATATTTTAGAAATAAAAATATTTCTCAACTGCATAACACAGAAAGAGCATTTTGGCTTTTTAATAACATTTATTTTATTCAATGAGTGGTCAAAGATTTAAACATTGAAAATAAATATTTTAGGTTCAGGACATCTGAAAAGTTTGTTGATCTGTTCATCTCAAATGCAGGAAAACATCAGTATGAAACAAAGGTTAAAGTAATCTGTACATATAAAAGTAAAAGTCTTTGCGCACTGAAACATATTTTGTTTTTCTTTCCACATCAGTATAGAAAAGTATGAGCTGGTTACTGCTATCAATATCAAGCACACACATTTGTGCTTGATATTCCAGAAAAATCAAAATGTTCTGTTTTTTAAAGAGATTTTCTGAATTATCAAGCCCAGTGAAATCTTTGAAGTATGCGTGTCGCTTTTGATGAATTTCCATTTAATTATGCAAGAGTATTGTGATCAGTTGTGTGGAATTGTTCTATGTCAGGACTGCACACACTGCTGTTGCAAACATGCTTAGCAAATACCAAACCCTTACCATGATGCACCCAGCGGACCAGAATAAATGCAGCTGTTTGGCTTCTCGAAGTTACCATCGCATGCGTTTTGAAGCCGATCTGTTCAGAAAGATCAAGACTTTGTTACAAATGAAAAGCTTCTGAGGTTGGTAAAAAGTCCAATTTATTACTCACTCGGTTCATCTATCCTCTTTCCCACCACATGGATGTCAGAGGAACTTTTGCTGGCTGCACAGAGTGTTTGGAGGATACAGCAGGATGGTATTTTGTGACTCAGCCCTAACATGATGGTGCACTTCGTATGACTGAAACATATCATTAGTTTTATCAAAAACAGGAATGGAAATATCCATGTGTCAGATATGAGAGCTGTTATTTCACTTACTTTATTTCAGTTTTTATAGAGCAGGACACTTCCATTGCCTGTGAAAAGACAAACCAGACTATGTTATTCAATACTTCTACTCACCATAAAACCTATTGTTGCATGTAATTATTAACTTACTTGGAAAATCAAAGACGTGTCATTGCTAAAAAAGAAAAATATAATAATAATAATATCAACATTGTGACAAAAGAGATGTAAGAAGAACTCAAAAAGTGCTGCCTAATTCAGCTGACAGTTATTTTGGATAATCTGTTTGAATTACAGCCATTTATTTTTACAATTCACAAATCAAACACATACTGTCCTATGAATGTTAGAATGTTCAGAACAGAATAAATTATTTTACCTATTTGCTTGAGTTCATTTTTCATACCTGCTTTGCGTCAAACTGTTGCTTTTCTGTGGGACGGCACGCTTCCTCCGTGCTGGAAGCAAAGTCTGAGGATTCACTCCTTGAGTTGATGACTGCGATGACTCAGTCACATATGGCAATAAAGTTGACAGACTGCTGATCAAAGATGGCACAATGGTACTTGGTGTAGTAGTTGCTGGACTGTTGCTTTGTAACGCTGTAGTTGTTGGAGTTGCTGGACTGTTGGTTCTTAGTCCAGTAGTTGTTGGAGTTGCTGGACTGTTGCTTTGTGATGCTGTAGTTGCAACTGTGGTTGTAGTGTTGGTTCTTAGTGCTGTAGTTGTTGGAGTTGCTGGACTGTTGCTTTGTGTTGCAGTAGTTGATGCAGCTGTAGTTGTCATGTTGCTTAGTGTTGCAGTAGTTGATGCAGCTGTAGTTGTCATGTTGCTTGGTGTTGCAGTAGTTGATGCAGCTGTAGTTGTCATGTTGCTTTGTGTTGCAGTAGTTGATGCAGCTGTAGTTGTCATGTTGCTTTGTGTTGCAGTAGTTGATGCAGCTGTAGTTGTCATGTTGCTTTGTGTTGCAGTAGTTGATGCAGCTGTAGTTGTCATGTTGCTTGGTGTTGCAGTAGTTGATGCAGCTGTAGTTGTCATGTTGCTTGGTGTTGCAGTAGTTGATGCAGCTGTAGTTGTCATGTTGCTTTGTGTTGCAGTAGTTGATGCAGCTGTAGTTGTCATGTTGCTTGTGTTGCAGTAGTTGATGCAGCTGTAGTTGTCATGTTGCTTTGTGTTGCAGTAGTTGATGCAGCTGTAGTTGTCATGTTGCTTTGTGTTGCAGTAGTTGATGCAGCTGTAGTTGTCATGTTGCTTAGTGTTGCAGTAGTTGATGCAGCTGTAGTTGTCATGTTGCTTTGTGTTGCAGTAGTTGATGCAGCTGTAGTTGTCAGGTTGCTTTGTGTTGCAGTAGTTGATGCAGCTGTAGTTGTCATGTTGCTTTGTGTTGCAGTTGCAGTAGTTGATGCAGCTGTAGTTGTCATGTTGCTTAGTGTCGCAGTAGTTGATGCAGCTGTAGTTGTCATGTTGCTTTGTGTTTCAGTAGTTGATGCAGCGGTAGTTGTCATGTTGCTTAGTGTTGCAGTTGCAGTAGTTGATGCAGCTGTAGTTGTCATGTTGCTTTGTGTTGCAGTAGTTGATGCAGCTGTAGTTGTCATGTTGCTTTGTGTTGCAGTAGTTGATGCAGCAGTAGTTGTCATGTTGCTTTGTGTTGCAGTTGCAGTAGTTGATGCAGCTGTAGTTGTCAGGTTGCTTTGTGTTGCAGTAGTTGATGCAGCTGTAGTTGTCATGTTGCTTTGTGTTGCAGTAGTTGATGCAGCTGTAGTTGTCATGTTGCTTTGTGTTGCAGTAGTTGATGCAGCTGTAGTTGTCATGTTGCTTTGTGTTGCAGTAGTTGATGCAGCTGTAGTTGTCATGTTGCCATCAAATGCTGTAGTTCCTGCAGCTGTAACTGTTGTGTTGCTGATTGATGCCTTTGATGTCGCTGTTGTTTTGTTGTCATTCAGTGTTGTAGTTGCTGCAGCTGTGGTTGTTGTGTTGTCATGTAACATTGTTATTGAAGCTGATGTTGTGACGTTTTCAGTTACTGGTGTTGCTGTTGCAGCTGGAGTTGTGATATTACTATTTATCATTGCTTCCATTGCTGTTGTGTCGTTACCATTTAGCATTGTTGCAGCCTTAGTTGTTATGTTGCCCTGTAACACTGTTGGTACATCTGTAGCTGCACTAAGGTTTTGCGGTAAAGTATAAAATGCTGTTGTTGATTTATTAGTCTGTGTTGTTGCCACTTGTTCTGTCACATTCACAGTTTGCTGAGATGTGGGTGCTGTAGTTGTTGCTCCTGCGTATGGAAACAAGCAGCGCCCCAGCTCATTTCGGAAAACCTGGCCAAGCTGAAAGAAAATAACCACGTTCACATTTATTTACAGGATTCAGACATCAAAATTCTGGAAATATCAATTTAATGTTGGCCTCCAGCTAATTTCCTTACGTACCCAGGCAATGATGTCGGATTCATTCTTACTCAGTCCAGTGACATCCACGTCGACATCAAGGAAATAAAACACTATTATAAAAAAGTTTAACAACATTTAGAAGAATAATGTCAAAATCAATTTCTTAATGGCTGATTAGTTTATTCCAAAGGAAATGTTCTTTCACAAAGCCATTTTGGGTAAAATATTTTTCTATGTTTGTACTGTAAGTGAGACATATCTGTCATTTGTTTACCTGGGGTCGGTGTGATGGTTGCAGAAGTTGGAATGATGGATGAAGCAGCAGAAGATTGACTATCAGAAACTTCAGTTGATTGGAAAAAATTGAAAATCTTTTAAATGCATATTTAAATACAAGACTATAAATATTAATGCTGTTGCAAAGATCAACTGCTGAGTTATCTTTTAAGTAATCTGAGTAATTTGATTCACAATATAATTTATTGTGTTACCCTACGTGTTTGTATTGCAGTGACATCATTTGACCACTTATCCACCTTTGTTTTTCTGTTATGCATCTACAAGTATTACAGCTTGGTCATATTTTGGTTGAAGAGTTTAATTTACCTGCTGTACTTGTAGAAGTGTGAAAAGTAGAGGAAGCAGCATGGGAGTTTGAAACAACTGAAGAATAAAAATTTCATTTTTGTTTTCAGTTTGTGATTTTTGTATTAAGTTGTCTTAACATGACAGTTTAATTTGATGTTTGATATGTTACCTCTTTATTTTCTCCATCATTCTATCTGTAGCTATGAATCAATAGAGGTATCAAGAAATATTGTGTAAATTTAAAGTTTGTGTTGTAAAAATGATGGTAATTCCAATTGTCCTTGCTTTGTCTTGAGTACCGTTGTTTTCAGTTCTGTCTTATTTCTGATTTTAGGTTTCACAAGCCTTAGCATATTATTTACCTGAGGTTTGTGCAGCTGTTGTTGATGTGGCAATGCTGGAGGGAGCAGTGGAGGTTAGTTGACCAAACGCTTGACCTGATGAGAGAAATAAAACAGGTACAGTAAGAAGTTGTATCTCTTGAGTTAGTCTGGTTGGGTTTTTCAATGAGACGTTCAGGGACCAGTCATTCACAACTTGTCTGTTTGCCCAAAATGGAGCCAAGTGAAAGGTTACATCATATCTATCACTATGAAATATTATAGAATAGCTTCAGTCTTAGTCACAGTAACAGGAACAAACTTTCTGATCAAGAAAAGTCACGCAACTACTGCTTCAAAAATTGCAAGATAACAAGCTGCAGCTCAGAGGTGTTGAGAGATTCTTTGAGTCAGACAGGAATCAATGTTGATAAACGGGTTACAGAATGAAAAGGAAAGGAATTTAACACGCGGGTATGATGAACTACATGGAATGCAGACATGGTCGTTTATTAGTGGAGATTGATTCGACACTCTGCCGCTTTGTTCATGTCTTTAGTCATACTGCAGGTGATGTCAGACCTCACCTGAGAGGAGGACAATAAGTAGATGTATCTTCAGCCACATTGCATATGTAACACAGGAACCAGGTTTCTTCACTCTGTGAAATCATTTACAGTTAGTAAGTATGCAAAGGAAAGTTTTTATTAAAGCTAAACATTTCTTCATGACAAGAAACATCAAGCAACTTGGATAAAATCTCAGACAAGCTTATCTTTAATTTTCATCAGTCTGTCTGCTCTTTATCACAGAAGCAATATCGCATGAGACATGTGAGAAAAATGTCACTGAAAAGTCTTATGTAACAAAACAAAAACTCTTATTCAACCCATATCAGTCAGAAGTGCAAACATAAATATTGGTATCAAAAGATTGATATCACTACAGTCATCTCTTGGTACTTGTTATATGTTTGCTGCATGTTGCACTGAGATCTTTTTTGTAGTGAAGAAACGCTGCCTTTTTTTTGTTTGCAATTCTATCAAAGAGACATCTCTTTCATTATTTTGTTATTGTGAAATAGAAATTCTTTTGGTCATACTTACTAACCTAAAACAGGACTGGTTTAGTCTCATTTAGTATCAGATAGTGCGGGAAAATGGCTGTGCATCTTTTATAAAAATGTTGCCAACATTTGGTTTCAAATGTTTGAACCAAAAATCTACTGATTTGTTAATTTTCCTTTTATAGTCCAAGGAAAAACTGTCTCTGTGTTTAAGGTGATGAAAATAACAGTAGGAGTGGAATAGCATAATTAATCTATGATGTTTATATTGAAAGAGAACTCTATGACTTTGTTGTTCAATTCCTTAATATTTCCTAGTGGGTCACTTTAGAAAAATTGGAGTTTCTGCAATAACTAACTTTGCCTTTTAGCTAAATTAAATCATATTAGAAGTCAGTTAAAATGAATCATTTGTATTTTATCAAGTGAAAAGTTTCATACACTCTTTGAAGACCATTTACTAAATGTTTCATGGAGGTATCTAGAAAAAATTTAGAAACTACAATTTTGTTAAAAATACATTTGTGTTTGTAACAAAATTTTTTACATTTTAATGTGAGCTGAGAAGCATAAACCAATTCAGAATTTCAAAGTTTAAATTGTCTAATTTTTCTGATTTTGAAACACGTCATATCTTTTTTAAAAATCTTTCAATGCTGGTTCGGTTAAAACCATTTAATATATGCGATTTTTAAAATGTTACTGATAAAACTTCCTTTAAGATGTTGGCTTTTGAGTATCGGCCGATGTCTTGGATTAGTATTGGGGACAAAAAATACAAAAATAAAAACACCCTGACATGGATATCAGTAATAAAAAGCAAACAGAGTTTATTGTATGTTATATTGTCTAGAAGTTTCCATTAATATTGTGTTCTGTTGCTCAAATTAGAACATCATAACAAACACAGGTCTGTTGCTCATCATAGCAGGCTATGAGGCGGTATTGTTATTGTTCAGTGAACCAACTAAAGATGACTTGAAATCTGATGCCTCCATTTGCTGTGTAAGTTTTATTGCAAGCAATTCGATCTGGCTGAGATCTGGAAGGAGAAATCACTTGTGAACCTTTACGAACTAAGCTAATAAACAGAGGATGAAGGCATTATATTGCAGTTAAAATTCTAATGATTGCTTTTCAGAAGATACAATTATCTTAACAATGTTAAACCCAATAAAGTCATCTGTTGACATTTTCTTAAGATAGGAGAACTAGATTTTTATTGCTCAGAATCCTTAAAGAGCTTTGGTTTTCTGTCTGGATAACGAACATTTTGATAAAATCCAACATTTGAGATAAAATACAAATGTCTAGACTTTGAACGACTTTTCCAGTCTTATGTGGATTGCTTCAATAATCAGAATGACAGCTGAGATCAGACAGCTATCAAGTCTATTTGTTGGTTTACATTCATCACAGTTGGTGTTGACCAGCCTAACCTTCCAGACCCCTCAGGTATTCTGGTTCTGGTCTCCTCTGCATTCCAAGAACCAGAACCAAAAGAGGAGAAGCAGCGTTCAGCTTCTATGTATCACAAATGTGAAACAAACTTCCATAAAACTGTAAAACAGCTGAAACACTGACTTCCTTTAAATCTTGGATAAAAACCAAGCTGTTTAGAGTTGTATTTTAAACATAATCAATTACAAATTTAATGATGGCAATGGACGTAATGTAATGTTTTGATTGTTGATTCTATGTTGCACGACTTTGTTTTTGTGTTTGTTATGATGTAAAGCACTTTGAAATGCCTTGTTGCTGAAATGTGCCATACAAATAAAATTTGATTGATTGATTGACAGTAACCTCATTTGAAATATATACATATATGTGAAAGTATTTGTTTTGAATGCCATGTATCCGTATATAAAACACAAAAATATGTATTTAAAAACGACTTATATCGTTATAAGTGCATGATTTACACTTATTTATTCAGTTCACAATCATTTTACTTTAGATGAGCTGGTTCTAATCAAACAGAGTACAACACCACCACCAGAACTTTTACCTCACAGAAGAGCCCAATTTGTGCTGGCAGAAAAATCTGGCCAAATGAACTGATGGAGCTCCCATAATGTCTTCATTTCCATGGAGCATAACTTCCCACAGCAGAATCCAAGGAAAGCTAAACCACAAAGCTAACCGCGAACATTTTCCTGGCTGAAACAAACCTGAGCTACTGGCAGGTTTTCTCATGGAGAGTCCAGACACGCCTTCAAAACGTCAGTCCCAGTAAGCGGACGTCAGCTGTATTCGTTTTAGCTCAAGCGTGTGTCACTCAACAATGAAGAAAGTATTAAAAGGAACTTCTTGTTTGTTCACCAGATCATAGATCTCCCTAAACCAACAGGTTTCCTGAAGGGTTGTTGGAAGGCAAGAGGCGTGCATTTCTATTTTTGTTTGGCATTTAAGGTGTGCCTCAGGGTGTGTCCTCAGCTTCTCAGTGTTCTCTTTGATAGACATAAAACAAAAGGTGTTTCCAAGGCACACTGTGGACTTCAAAGTGCCCTGGCATTGAAACATTTAGTGCTGCCAGAAAATGTCAGGCACCGCTGTGTCTGTCGTGGTCTGAATGAGGTGACTGTCACTGTTGCAGAATTATCACTTACGTGTCATTAATTCATATTTGTGGCGTGTAGAACTGCATTCAAACTAACACATTATTAAGCAAAGCAGCAGACTGAGGCGTAGGCGGTTGGGATGAGGACATAAGGTGCGTTACAAAAGAAGCTGAAGTTGGACATTGCTACTAGTTCCAAAGTTAACTACAAAAGAATTATATCAGCTAAGCAGTTTTATTGTGATTAAACAGTGCATATACATTGTTATACAGAAGCAATGCTTTCTCTTCTTTGACAAATACAATAAATTACGTATAATGGAAATTGTAGTATATTGTGTCCTTTTGTTTGTGTTTGTGTGTTTAATAGACATGTTCAGTAAAAGGAAAACATAAATAGGAGTTTTATTGTAAGGTAAGCTATACATGTTGAGCAAATATAAAATTTAATATTTTTTAGAATTTTACTGTTTTCCAGGTCAGGTCCAGGTTTCTAAATTTACATTCAGGTTGAATTGCTAATGGCTAACCTTGACATACAGATGTGAATCATGATTGGAAAAATTAATTCCTGATACAAGTTGCTGAAGTAATCAGAGATAAAGTGCAGAGGTATTATATGATTATTAATCTATTTCATTAGCTACTTTAAAAGTCTATCTTTGCAACTGATAGATAATTGGTTTAAAAAATGAAGCATTATTCACTTCCCCAGGATAACTCTAATGATTTCCATGTTTTGTAATATATTGCGAAATGTAAGATAAGCCATGCTCTTGCAGTGCAGCAGAGCCGTCTTGTTTTCCCTGCATCACCGCTTCCCTCCACCAGAGGCCCCTAATGAGCTCACCTGTTTATTCTCTCATTCTCCTGCTGACTGGGATTCAGTCTTTGCCAGATTGGGTTTTGGCATTCAACCAAGTGTTCCAGACTTGTTTTGTAATGCCTGTTTCTCAGGACTCTGGTTTTATTTTCCATTTAATCCATGCTTTTATTTGCAGGGCGACCTGTCAACATGCAGTAATACCTTTAAGCTCCGGTTTTGAATCCATCTGAAAAACCCCATCTGTCTGTCTGTTATAGTGAGTATTTTGGATCTTTTCACAGTTTTTTGAACAACCCACCTTTATAGGTATAACTGTGACTAAAATCCATAAAAATATGCTTTGGATAAGAGCGTTTATTGGTCAGGTAATACTGGCGGTGGTGAAGATATGCCTTTCTTTATTTGCTGCCTGTAGCAAAAGGGTTTTTGTCTTTTAGACAGCAGGCTCTTTCAGGTACTCCAGCATCCTCCCACATTCCACAAACACGAATGTTGGATTATTTGGTTGCTCTAAAACTGCATTTAGTCATGAATATGTGTGGTTGTATGTGTCTGTTCTGACACATGGAGCACAATGAGGTTGAAAAAGAATTCACCAAAAGAGTTTCCAGTAAAGCCATCGACAAAGATGACATTGCTTTAAGCACAAAGCTGAGTTACAAGTAATGTTGAAACACTAATGTCTATTTGGGAATAACTATTAAAAAAAATAAGAGTAAACTGATATAACAATCAGCCATAAAGTAGCCTGACACATACAGTATTTAAAAGTGTAGGTTTATTTGTAAAGATAAAGATATGTTGCTTTGTACAGGTTTCACTGAAGTGGCTTGTCTAATTTGAAATGTGGTCTCGATTTAATAAAGTCAATCAAATATTTACGGTACTATGATGAGATTCTTTTTTTGTAGAGCAAAACTGCCCTGCCTTGGCACATGCAGGCAACCATCTTCTTTATACATTACATGAAAAAATAAAAGAAAATTGCCTCATGCCAAATTATTCTCTGAAATAAAACATAACAACAACAAAAAAGAAATAGAAATGGTTAAGACTTTTTCCAAATCACTCTTTTTGAAGACACATATACCATTTGGAAAATTGCAGCCACAGATGCAGACAAATTCCCTGGCACCCTGGGTAAAGATTTGTAAAGACTCTTGAAATAACACAGCGGATTTCTCCACTGAATAACCAATTAATTTTTAATTGAATTAAAAGCAGAGTTTTTCTGAAAGTTTCAGTCTGAGTTATTTTCTGCAATAAAAGATGTATTTTAATGTCTTTGTACACACCTTTGCGAAGGACACAAGGTCGGCAATAAATTTGCTGCAACAGCTGATCTTGGCTCTTTGAATTTGAGACATCATAAACGATATTAATGCTCAGCATTAAACACTGTGCAAACAAAAAGTCGGAATGGTAGACCAGCATTTATGGTACTTAGTAAGTCTTTTTAACAAATGAACTAAGCATACAAACTCCAGTAAATGATGTTGAAGAGCAGATAAGCCATGGGGAAGATGACTCTAGAGTACGAGTCAATCATGTAACTGTTGCTCCTGATGAAGCTCAGGTTGTATTTCAGTGTGTTCCTGCGACGGAGCCTGGTTCCCTCTGTGGGTGCAGAAACGGTGGAGTTTCGAGACTGAGTGTTTCTGTCTGTATTCGGGGTGATGGAGACCTCTGGGAAAGAAGCCAGGTCAATGTCGTTATCGTGGAAACACCCATCAAAGGCCATGGCTTGGGTGGTATCGAAGTCACTGGGGATCTACAGTGAGAAGAAACCAGAGCGAACGACATGAAGATTAAAATAATTACCAAAAGTTTTAAGAAGACTTGATGGGAGAAGTGGAAATTGACCTTAGCGTTCTTCAGCTTCTTCATCTCCTCCACTGTGGTGAAATAGTTGACAGCAGCGTACTCGATGACGGACAAAAAGACGAACAGGAAGCTTGCCCACAAGTAGATGTCCACGGCTTTGACGTAAGACACTTGTGGCATAGAGGCAGAGACACCAGTGATGATGGTGGACATGGTCAAAACAGTGGTGATTCCTGCACACACATACACACGTCCACACACACGCACGCGTGCAGACAGAAATAACATGAGTATAAAAAGAAAATATGTATGGATTATATGTACAACTTCATATATGCATGTACAGCTGAAGTCCAATAGATTGTATTGTGAAACTACCAATGTCTTAAGTAATTAATTAATACCGAATCATTACTTAGGCAGTTTCATCCATATTGGTACAGCTCTGTGGGTATTTTGCTGTTTTGGAAACTGAATAAATTGTGGTGCATTGAAATCTAAGGAAACAGTTTCTGGCACCAAAAAGGATGTTAAAGTTACTTAAATCTCCTTCCAGAACCCTTCTTATTCTCAGTTTGAATTTCATCAAGTTATCTTTAACATCTTCAACATCTAAACTGCCAAATGCATTGAGTTGCTGCCTTGTGATTGTCTGTTTGTCCTAAAGACCAATCCGGTCGGTGTGATTTACAATAAACAAAGGCTTCATTTATTTTTCTTACCTAGAAACCCCCCTTCTGTGTCTTTTGCATCTTGCTTTAAGAGGCAAAAGGAGACGCCCTGAATTTTGCAAAGTTTTGTTTTTATTTATTGATTATACTTTCTCAACATTCAATAGTTGGTTACCATCTTTAAACCATAATTATTAAAGCAGAGATAAAATATGCAAGAAAATCCTAAGAATAATCAGATGGGGCTAGTCGATATACAACTCAACATTCTGTTTCCATCTTCATCTTTACATTAAATCACAAGAAAAGTGGTTTTCTTTGTGAATAGTTACTTCAATTGATCTTTACAAAATGTGTTTTTCCATAAATTATGGTTGTACGTTTTCTCATTACCCAATGAGACACGAGCAGGTACGGCTCTCCTATCTATCCAGAAAGACACCCATGACAGCATCACCATCAGCATGGTCGGAAAGTAGGTCTGAAGCATGAAGAAGAAAATGTGCCTCCTTAGGATGAAGTTTATGTAGAGTCGATTGTACCAACCTGAAACAGTGCAAAAATGCAGAGCAAAGCAACCATCAGGAGAAAAAAGGAAAAATGTGCCACCATAATGCTGAAAAAGAAAACTTCCTTAGAAAACTCCACAGAACAGAACCTGAATTCAGGTATTTGGTGAAACTCCATATAAATCACCTGAACAGATGAAAATCAATATTGTTTAGATATTTACATTAATAATTTTCAACAATGATCCATTAAATGAGTATTTTATTATCTCAGTGTTACAACAACTCCATACCCATTAACATAGAACAATATTGATTGAAAAATAATCTTTTGAGTGCTGTTTAGTATCAGTTTTCCCACAGAGAGCTATGAAAATCAATATTTTTTCTTTTACCCGAGGGCTACAATGAGGCTTGCTGTATCCATTCGTTATTCTATTTTCAGCTATACAGTTTTAACTCAATGTAATATTTGTTTTTGTGAATCTTCCAAGAACGTTGAAACCTAAACATGTGCTTTAAGGAACCGCTACTGAGAGCTTGAAACAAACCGCCTCATTGGAAGTTGATTTTATGAGAAAAGAAAACAATTAAGTTGTTTCTTTTATATGTATATACAAAGCCACCATGTAACATTATGAGAATTATTATCTTAGCAAGGTGCATCACAGAAAAAAACCAAAAAACATTACAGGAGCTCTCTGGTTGTCTCTAAAGTGGACACAGCGCAGAGAGCCCCAGCCTCACATACCAGTGCTGCTGTAGAAGGCAAGCCCAAAGGAAGGCTGGAAGTCTTCAATAAAAAACTGAGAGAGCACTATCTCATCAGTCCTTAATGAATCGTTCCCGTTCTTCCAGTAGAGCATTAGGTCGTTCTCATTGTAAGCATCTTAAAGAGAGGAGAGAAGGAAGAGTGGGAGGAGAATTTGACGTTTTGCCTCTCTCAGAAGAAACATGGGTGTTTTTCTCAGAGGAAAGGAGAGATTGTTTTAAGCTGGATGTCTGCCTTTCCTCTAAGATCAAGCTCCATGATGTGAATGTATGACAATAACAAAGAGAGAAAGCACTGAAAATACAGAAAACCCACAGAACATTTGAATAAGACGGTCAAAAAATGTCTAAAGACAATCATCTTTGGAGTATTGAAAAAGTATTCATTTCCCTCCAAGTTGTTCACATTTCATTAAGTTACACCCAAAACCTCAATGCATGACATGGGAATTTTCAGCAATAGCGAGTGAATCTTAGTGAAGTAGAAGGAAAATGATCACTGCAGTTTATCCAGATGAACACACATATTTTAGGAGGTTTTTCAGATGAAGAACTAAAGACTTAATCAAAGCTTTGAAGACTGCTATATGACCTAGCCTAGCGTTTAACTTCTCAGTGGTCTTTTATGGTCTACATGATATTTCTTGTTCACTAGTATTTTCTAATAGTCCTCAGATTACTTCAGAGAACAACTGGTTTGAGAGGTGACAGCGTAAAGGAAGGAGATGCACTTTACCCTGAAGTTTAATACCATGTGCTTATTGTTCCACTTCTCAATTATGCACTACTTTTTGTTGGTCTGTCAAACATCAGTAAACTACTGTGAAGGTTGGGGTTGCAATGTGACAAAATGTGATAAGCGTGTGGGTGCAAGTCACAGCAGCACAGAAGAAACAAAACAAACTAACAGAGTCTTATTTACGGCAAAAACTAAAAGTTAGTTAGAGTTTACTTTCCGATTCTGTTTCACTGTTATATGAACTGAAATAGCGACGCATTCTCTGGTCCACATCTTCCAGTGCAAAACTACATAAATGCTTTATTAAAGGCAATAGAATATTTTTATTGCTGAAATAGCTAATAATAGTGGAATTGTGTTTGACTGTGATCAGCATTAGATGTCCAAGATGTTCCCTCGACTTCTGGTTGATACTCACAGCTCTCCAGCTCCAGAGAGCAGTTCTGTGTGTCCAGAGGAAAACTACTGAAGTCCATCGAGCACAGAGCGGTCACAGTGATCCTAAAACACAACTTAAAGTTACATAAACACCCACATCATTCAAATCACTCAGTTTGATCAGCTTTGTTAACCCAAAGCAAAAAGAAAACATTGCATCTGGTTGTATCTGCAGCAACTTTCAATGACAGTTTGTGGCTTCAGTGAGAGGATGCCACATTTTGACATCTGCAGATGAAATTGATATTTTCAATTCGGTGAAAGCATATTTTCTACCATCTTATGTTACTCTTACTCTCTGCACACTGCTTCCAGCTTGTCTCATGTTTTGTCCCAAAAAATTTTTTTAATCAAAGTTGTCGCAAAAATATTGGACAACCTGCCTAATTGATTGATCCCCAAGTCCTAGGGGAAAATATTAAGTAGACTGGTGAGAAGCGGAATACAGCAGGAGTAAAATAAAGTTTATTATAATTACAGAAGAATGACAAATGCAACTTGTGTGCCTGAGTAGCTTTTAATGAGAATAAATATCAATGTTTTGTTTGTAATCTTGCCAGTGGATGCAAATTATTTGGTCCCAACATATTTCTGCACTTTAGCAGTTTTGGTTCTTTTTTTGATGTTCTGTACATACGTTGACTACTTATAATTTAAACTCACTTTCTATTATCTAGTCATGTCTGCTGTTAGTTATATGACGGCAGTGAATATCATGTGAGATGGGGACCATTCAGTTGTTTTGGAGCAATCAGGTGCCATAGCCCACCTGTGAATCAGAATCTTTACCTAAGCCAGTATGTATGCAAAAGGGGGATCTGTTACTGCAGTTTATGATATAAAGTTTCCATCTAATAGTGAGGAAAGGGCTCAATGACTACAAGTCTTTTTACCTCACACTGTAGAGAATATTTCCATCTGGAAAAACCCTCAGCATGATGTTCTCCATAGTTGTATCATGGATAAATGAACGTTTTGAATGGACAAAGAACACATCTGGAACCCAAATTTTCTTGACGAGACGTGCGTCGAAGGTTCGACTTTTGTTACTGCTGGAGGGGAAAGCCAGCCGATCATCCTGCCAGTAATGCCTCAAGTAGAGGGTCATGGTGAAGTCCTGAAGAAGAACGAAGAAAAGCGAAAGAGAAAAAATAAACAAACAGCAATTGGGCTGAACAGTTTATGTAAATTAGATGGATGACAGAGGTGCATACCATGTTTACTTCAGATATGCTGTCAATGCTTTCCACCTGGACGTCGATTCCAACTGGAAGAGCAGAACCTGGAAAGATGAGAGAAAGATTTAAGATAAAATATTGTCCAAATTTTCTGCCTTTTCATCCCACAAAGGTATGCATGTCAATGATACACATGAATGTTTTATATCAGACTCAGTTCTAGTAATAGTGAATAAAGTTTCTATTTGGGTCAGGTGACTAAAATGAATCCCTAAATGATTAAACCAATTTACTACAAAAGTCTCCCACTAAAAAATAATATTTACTAATGTCACATAACCACCTTTCCATATACTGGATTATAAATTTTGCAAGGATGAAAAAATTGAGAGATCCTCATAAATACTAAAACTGAATATGTATAATTTAGGAGGTTATTATACCTTCTGTAGCCTCAACAAATAACGTTTATTTGTATTATACATATTACCAATGCAACAGTACAAAGAGTTTTATAAGATGAATCTACAACACAATAAACAATAATGACAACATTAAACAGCAAACAAGTAACAAATTTTTGTCATTACATATGAAGACTAGAATTAACCAACATACCAGTTATTATTAACCAAAAGTAACTCTGATTTTTAGTTTTTATTTAAAAGAATTCAGTGTTTCAGCATTGTTGCAATTTTCTGGGAGTTTTTTTTTCCAGATTAGGAGAGGCTAAGAACTGAATGCTGTTTTTAATTTGACATTTGAACAAGAAGAGCACATAACACCAGTTTTAAAGTCCCTCCACTGGCTCCCTGTAGCTCAAAGAATAGATTTTAAAATACTGTTGTTAGTTTATAAATCACTGAACGGTTTAGCACCACAATATATCAAAGATCTGCTGTTGTTGTATCAACCTTCCAGACCTCTCAGGTCTTCTGGTTCTGGTCTGCTCTGCATCCCCAGAACCAGAACCAAGAGAGGAGAAGCAGCTTTCAGCATCTATGCACCAAAACTTTGGAACAAACTTCCAGAAAACTGTAAAACAGCGGAAACCCTGACTTCTTTTAAATCGCAACTAAAAACACACCTGTTTAGAGTTTCATTTGAAATGTAATATGTAACAATGTATTGTCTATTATATGTTGCATGAGTTTGTATTCTTGTGTTTATGATGTAAAGCACTTTGAAATGCCTTGCTGAAATGTGCTATACAGATAAAATTTGATTTGATTTGATTTGAAGAAGCCCTGGGTGATCTCGAAGGTTGATGAAACAACCGATATTTCATGCATTTTGTTGCTAAGCCATTCTGTGATTTATAAACTAACAGAAATATTCAAGGATTTCAGAATAAGGGTAATTGGGGTGAAAACAAAACCTCTGAACAGTTGTGTTTTGTCAGATTTGTCTCAATCCTATTCATAAATAGGATTGTCTGCATTCATCAACGAGCAGATTTGTCCTCAACATGTTTTAGCAGGACCTTAACTGCTGTAAAGGCCCAGAATCTGAAGGATGATGCATGAGTGCAGAATGTATGACCTATTTTCCAGTAGAAAATTTGTTCTCTGAAACTTGCTTAATCTGACGAATGTGCTACAAGATCCTCTCAAATTTTTTTTTGAAGAGTTATAGAGTTAACAACTTGCATGGATTATTTTTTTTTTGTTGTTTGTTTAGTTTATGTTCTGTAGCTGTCTATTTCAGTTGGAGTTTTCCCATAATCCTGCATGCACCAAGAAAAAAAAAAATAATCACTGCTTATAACAATCCCATCAGTAAGACTTTCACTTCACATGACCTGAGAAAACCCTGAACAATATCAGGAGCAAATGCTAAATGTTCAGAGTGGCAGGAAAATAAAACAGGCCGAGATGAGCTACAGCTGGTTTAACTGCATATGTCAGAAATACAACAGAGGGATGGAAAACTACACTGCAAAATACTGCAAAAAACTTTGCATTAGAGCTGTAGTTTCTTATTATGACCATCATGCTTGTTAAGTCATCATCCAGTAGCAGAACATGGGCAACATACTGAATGATGTGCAGTTTGCACATGCACCTCTAAAAGTGCCATTACCTAATGAGGGTAAATGCTCAGGGCACAACTGCAATCTAATAGTGGAATGGATTATATTTAGACAGAGGTGGGTCCACACACTAATGTATTTTTCTTTTATCAGCATCAATGATCTGCAGCTGAAAAATAAAGTACAAACTAAATGTAAATATAAAAGTATTATGAGAGAAATTTGACAAAGTGACAGTGTTACCTGGGAGTTTTATCACTATAATGATGTCAACAAATTTCACCTGCCAATATTCTGGTCTCTATTGTGTTTCTACTGTCTCAAATGCTTGATGGAAATGCTAGTTTTGCTTTAGTTGGAGCATTAAAAATTATAAAATTGCAAGTAGTCAAGGGTCACAATAGCAAAAACAAAAATAACTTTTTGATAAAAATGATTCAAAATCATTTTCAAAAGAAACAAAAAGGCTTTCACATGTTTGTCTTATTTTTTTTAAAAAAAGGCATGCAATGTTGTTTTTTCCATTTTGTTGGTCTATTCTCATCAATAAGATTGAAATATGAGTATCCCTAGTTTAAATATTCTAATATTAAATATTTATATTATCTTGTCAAGTTTAGTGAGCGCACCCAGATCTGCTTTAGAGTAAAAGTTGCTCCGTGTTTGTGGTCCTAACTTCTACACAAGCATAAAAAAATGTAATTAAATTTTTTTTAAAGATCATTGCTGATAAAACATAAAAACTTTGAGTTGCACCCAACTTTTTTTGTCTAAAGAAGACTGTTTTATCACAAAAAGTGACTATCTGGATCAATCGCATTATGCCATTATCAGAGACCACACAAAATCATTTCAAGAGCAGAAAATGCCACCCAAGATTACACTTCAGGTATTTTAAAAATCATGGGTAAACACTATTTACACAAAGGCATATATTTGTAAAATGTGCCTTGTGCAAATACCTTGGAGCAAACTTGTTATTTTAGGAGGATCCTTTGGTGAGATTCAGAATAACAACACACTCATTGGAAATGTTTAGTTTTGTTCAAGTAACTTACTGGGTTTTTAAAGTGGGAATCATTTTTATGTAAATTGATTTAAAAAAATTAATAAAATGTAATTACATTTGAAACATATAAGCATAAGATGATAATGTTTTTTGCATAGCCTTTATTCTAAAGGCTATGCAACAGTAAATCAGAGCATTTTCATGTGAAACTAAAATAAAGTAAATAAAATGCAGTGTTATAGTCCGTGTAGAAATTGTCCATTTAAACTTGTAGTAATCCACACAATGAGGGAAGGTACATATAAATAAAAATTTATATGTACCTTGTTCATATCATGGACACACTCCATTGCAATATTCCAATATTTTTACTTTGCCCAAATACATTGTGAATGAAAAAAGTGAACTATCCTTCAAAGTGCAGAAAGGTGCAGAATTAGGAACACAGTTCAGATTATTTTCCCTGCACCGCTGTAGTCTGGTGCCCGAGACCAGACAATCCCAGGCACCAGACAATCTAGGTCAACAAGGATTTTTTGTGTTATGCGCTGCTTATTAAGCACAATAACTCACATAGTCGACTAAATTGTCTGTAAAACAAATATTTATTAAAACAGAGCAAGAAAAATACATTTAAATGTTGAGTGGACCAGTTAAAATGTGTAACTCAACAGCAGCTTTTTGTTCGTCTTTAACAGTGGAACTACGTAAGAGTAATATATAAATAAACAAAACTATATTATTTATTCTGAGCTTTCTTACCTCCAAAGCCTGGACGCATGGCAAAATCATGATCTTCAATCCTTAGTAGCTGCTCAGACTTAATTAGCAGGGACTTTGTACTGTCCAGCTTTTTCATCTTAAGATCCACCCGTCTAGAAAAAAAAATAAATCAAAAAAGATCAAATGACAGATCAGTCAGTCGATCTCTAACAAAAACACACTCTAAATAGAAGCAACATCTGTCTAGGAGAGACGGCTAATTGCTCTTTAGCCCTGATTAAAACTGAGAGCCTTGGCCCAAATAAAATCAGTTACATTCAGGGTACTGGCACTTGTAATTGGGTCAAACATAATGTGGTAACGCTCGTTTATCTGCCTCCTGAGGTGATTAGTGTCTTCCTAGAAACAATCCAAAGCTGGCTTTGATAACATGCACAACAATGTCTTCGTGCAGAAATAGATTTAAAAATACCTCCATGTCACATATTTCACTGCCAGTTCTGACCTGGATTCACCTGCATGGTATTGATGGTGTCACTGGGATCCATTATGCAAGCAAGATCTGAGATAACTACCATTCGGAAGAGGCTGGATAATGTAAGTTGTACCTAGAAAAATAAAGACGACTCTTACCCTCCATGCTTTGCTTTAGTGTTCTCCCCAACATAGACCTCTTTGTGCCGTTTCTTGTTTGCAAAAGTGCTGCTGTTGAGCTGAGTGACAGGCCACAGCCACGCCAAAACCATCAGTCTCAAAGCCAGGAGGGCCAGTCTCATGATTGAGCAGGGGCTTCAGATGTGAGAGGAACCCAAATGTCCCTCCCAGTATTTCAGTGTCTCAACCAGACACGGCTGTCCTGGTCTCCTAGTGACACGTCCATGTCCCGGGTGCACTCATTCTGTCCTGCCAGGCAAACACCAGGTCATATCTACCTTATCTTTTACTCTCATATCCCATAACATGGTGAACATCAGTGGAGATATCCAGCAGCTCAGCGCCAGTGCACGAGCATCCTCCTGGCTGAGTTTGCCTGTCACAGTGCCATCCCTCTGCTTATGTGTCCTAACGCAACATGTTGCTCCGACTCCCCCGCTGTCCCCACCCCTCTGATTTAAAACCAAATATCAATTTGTTCCTATAATGACAAAGGAATACCATTAATTCCTCCCTAATCTTCTTTTCTGTGGGTGGTGAAATCTTTCAGTAACCTACAAACTGGAGGCAGTGCAGGGTGGGGGAAGCGCATAATACAAACACCAGTTTCATCATCACCAGGCCAGATGAAAATAAAAACCCTGTAGCCTAGTTTTATACGTTGCAGGATTTTCCAACACGAAGTTGCGCTTGGCTGCAGTGAGAGGACGCAAATGATCCTATCAAGAGGAGTCAGATGTGAGCATATGTCTGCAGCGGCTTCAGTAAACACTGAACTTATGGCCTCTGGTTGTTTCGTATGTAAGCCTGATCATATGATCCCACAACTGTTCTCGCTTCATCTCAGTTCAAAGAATTGAAGAATGTTCAACTGAAGACCTCTTTTAATATAGCTTTGTTACTTTTTGAGTTTGAAGGGAAAAAAATTTAGAAAGCGAAATTCAGCAAAATGGAAGCAAACACAAAAAAACATCAGCTTCCTTCCTGCTGATAGACACATGGTGAGAAAGATAAAACCACGGAGCATTTGGATTGATGTAAATTAAAAATCTGCTGTCCCATTTGCCCCACTTAGAGTTCCCAACCACAGTTGTAGATTTTTGTTTAGATTGTGCAGCACTCATTAAAAACAGCACTGATGCACACTGAGTGTTAGCAGGTCAATCTGCTGGTTGATGTTGTACTTTAAAATTTCAGTTCATATTACAAAGTTTTACATTCACTTTTTCTTGAATAAACACATAAAGAAAAATGTGGTTAAACAACACAAATCCCAAAATATCAACAAGGGTCACCACATTTGTACAAGCAAAACATTATGCACTTGGTGGCAGGCAGCAAGTTTGATTGTGTAAATGCATGAAAAGATGAGTGAGAGATACAGAGAGACAATTTAAAATCCATGAGAGTGAAAGCTTCATGAGAAAGGTTTAGTGTGGGAAAATTGCAAGAAAATATATTTGAAATAAATTTTGAAAAAGCTAATGAAACAGAGCTACAGCTGCACTGATATAACTCAGCATTGTTGGCGTGGTACTAGTAGCATGCTCCCTTTAATCTGGGATTAAAGTTGAATGAGGGCAGAGATGAGCAACGCCATCTTCAAGAATCAAGCACGTGGATCTTAGTGCACTAGAACATGTGACCCTGCAGCTGCATGACAGCTGTTCATATTTGTCCAGACATCTCATCTCTGTGCCACAGAGGTCATCAAAAGAGTATTAAAAAGGGGACAATCAGATATAATATTTTACAAATATAATAATTATTTTTCTATCTATCCATCATCTAGTTGTGTTCCCATTCAGGGTTGGGAATATCTGGAGGCTACATCAACTGTCACAGGACAGCAAACAGATGTGCAGGGCAAATGATTACTGCAGCATTTTTTAAAGGATATAATTGATTAAACTAGATTTAGAAGTTCATGGAAAGTATTAGGACACAATGCAGGCAGTGTCAAATTAGTATATTTTCAAAAAAGAACTATCATGTTATTTTCCTTTTTCATTTGGTTACAAAAAACAATGTTCTCATTTTATTCACGCCAAATCTTATCTCTTCTAGTTCCTTCCTTACTCACTAAATGTACACTGCATTTGCTTTAGCTTAGCTGCTATGGCGTGAACTCATTTTTAGGTCACAAAAGAAAGAAGGTGTTTTTGGCAGACTACTTCAGAAGAGATGTGAAGTGTTGTGCCCTGCACCAAGAAGCTGGTTAAACTTTTACCTGCTGGGTTAATTAGTCCATGTTTCATTAGTGTTAGGAAGGATGTAAAGTGGAATCACACAGAAACAGCTCACTGCACACCAGTGTGTTTTCAAACACTCAGCTGTGAAAGACTGTTACAGGTTTAACGCCTTTGTGGAAAGTGACTGAAATGGCAGAAATGCAAGGACTTCTCCTCATGCTGCTACTTTTCTCAGAAAAGTTTTTGTTGACAAATTCAAAAGGTATGTATATTTTTATGACATTCTTTAATTATGAACAAATCTACGTAAGCAGTGTTTTATAACTGGTGAAATAAATCAAATAAATCACCAGGTAAAAATATGCACACAACTGCATTCATGTTTGCCAATTACTGTGTTATTGCTGTAATTTTCAAAACAAAAATGAAACAAAGAAATACTATTTTGTTTTTGGTGCGAAAGCAAATTCCTCCTTTGTTAAAAATTATAAAATATTGAGTAAAAGCAGCAAAGGCAACATAATATGTCTTCAAAAAGATGACTGAGATTATATTCAAAGGAACTTACAGTACCTTTTCTTTGCATTGTTATATCATAAATACAGGGTAAATGCTCAGCTTTAGCTATCAAAATTATACACTTTCTAGTTTTTTCCAGCAAACTGTGAACACATTTAACTAACATAAAACCTGTGCTCTTAAATCTTTTTAATAACTGTATGTTTTCAGTCTTGTTACCAGACCTGAATGTCACTTGCATCATCCAAGATGACTGTGTCCTGCCATGCAGCTTTAGACCCACAGGGACAGTGGTAATCCACTGGTACAAGCAGCAAATCCCTGTTCACAGCTACTACTACCACAAAGATCAGTTTGGACTCCAAAACAAGCACTTCAGCGGCAGAACGTCGCTTTTCAACTCCCACATCTCTCAAGGCAATGCCTCACTGCTTCTACGGAGGGTTAAAGTTCAGGACAAGGGCAGGTACAAGTGCTACACGAGCACACGCAAAGGCAACCAGGAGATGTTTGTCAACTTGGAGCTAAAAGGTTTGTACCTAAAATTATTTTGCCTGTTTCAGCGTCTTTCTCTGTTGAAATTGATATGATAAACCTTATAAAGGGTCACAATGATTAATTATGTCAAGGCCACTGTGCAAGCAGAATATTTTGCACCTTTTTCCACAATTTTTTTATCAGCTTTGTTGTATTAAGAGAGTTTGTCAATAACTACCCAAACTCTGCATTACCAAAAGAGAGGCATTATACTGTATATAATTAAAGTTCCATGTGCAATATGTGCTAAAACACTGGAGAGCTGATTTTCACTTGGAGGGAAGGTTTAGTGGAAAGCCAACAGTGTGTGTAAAGTTCATGTTGGTTGTCTGCCCCATTAACCCACTGCAAAAGTAGAGAACAAGAGCATTGAAGTGCAGCAGAAAAGCACCATTAAGAGGCGATTAGACTAAAACAGTTGTTCTGTTGAAAGCCGGCGCTGAAACACATCACTAAGCTCTAAGAATAGATTAAATCTTTGTCCACCCTTCTCTGTCTTTCTCCTCGCATTAAAACAGCATTCTGGCTGTTTCTGGCTGCCCTTTCCACAAACTGCACCGTATGACCTGAAAGTTTAGACTGTTTTTCTTCTTCTTCTCACCTAGCTCCCATCCAGTCGGTAACCATGGAGATGAGTGATGAGATGGTCACTTGCACCTCTCACAACATTTACCCCATGCCGCAGGTGACGTGGGCCACGGAGCCCTCCTCAGCTCAGGAGGCTCTGGAAAATTCCACCATCAGGACCACAGATCACAAGGGCCTGCTCACTGTGGAGAGCATGCTGAGAATTGTGGGTAATCTATCCGACCGCACGTATTTTTGCTCTTTCACGTCAGCCGACAGAAACCAGGTGTGGACAGCTTCTCGGAAGAACCAAGGTGCATCCTGCAAACTTTGTCATAAATTAGTCATAAAAAAAACATTTTCATATAAATAACAGGCAATAACACCACATTTCCTTTTGAATTCAGAAAATATAAGTCATAAAGAGGGACACCCACTGTCAATCTCATGCATGGCTCCACACAGTCTTGAGAATTTCTCCCTCACGTGGACCATGTCCTCTCTCACGGAGCAGACTCTGATCTTAAAATACGACAACAGAACAGGACACATGGTCAACCTGTGGGAGGATCAAGCTGTCCTTGACCAGGAGCAGCTTCTGCAAGGAGATGGGTCACTCCTGCTCAGCAGGCCAGACAGTATGGAACACTCTGGAACGTACACCTGTACCTTCTCAAGTTTGCAGAGCAGGCACATTGTTCAGACCAAGGTCAACATCACTGTTGCATTAATAAGTGAGTTTGAGATTTTTCTTTTTTTCTCTGCATTCAGATTGCTGATATCATGTATGCACTGCAGTCAATAAGGAGAGGCATCTTAGTGAAAGAAATGTTTTTCAGGTGTGGACAAAAAGGGACAGCAGAGGTCGTGGTGGAGCACTGCAGCATCCGCAGCTTTCGTGTTGTGCACAATTATTGTAGCTCTACCTCAATGTGCTAGACAAAGAGGTATGTATGCAGTTATGCTCAAAATTATTAACACCTCAGTGGTGACTATGTTTGTTTTAAATAGACTAGCCTGTCTATTTAAAACAGGTCAGTCTTGAAAAGAGACCTTGTGTTTCAGTGAGATTTTACTGCATATATATATATATATATATACAGGTGAAATTTAAAAAAAACAAATGGACGTATGGATATACTGCACTGAAAAAGTACCATAAGCCTGTCTTCAAATGTTCCTCTACGAGTGAAGCCAAGTGTGTCTATTGAGTCAATCGACTTGGAAAATAGCATATATTTGACCACAAGGTGTCACTGTCAGAATCAACACCTTGTCATAATCCAGAAGTTTTTAATTTGAGGGAAAAACTGCAAAGTAACTTTCTGGAGTTTATTAAACAATAATCTGTGTGTACTGAACGGAATAAGTCCAAGTTCAAGGTTTTAAACTTGAATTAAAAATATTAAATGTTAAAACCAGAGTTCATGTACTTTTTTGTTTTTTGCTTTGTTTCATTTTGTTTTTTTAATACAGAACTGGAGGCCAGAAAAGTCTCCACACATTAAATGGAGCTGGGCTTGTTGAAGATGGACTTTGCAAAGATCTAAACTCCTCAACTTCATGCAATGTAGAACAACTTGATGCTGGATGCAATAGGCATTCAGGAGATTTTGAAGTGCATGAGGAACAAAATGATGTCAACAGAGCAGAGAGCTGCAATGGGACTTCAGGGACAGATTCTGACCATGTCTAAATGTTTTGAAAAGAATGGTATAAAAACACTGGGCCTAAACTTTATTTAACAGAAACAAGGCCCACACTTCAGATTTGAAGCGCACTAGCAACTGGTTGTAAAGAAACAAGAAGGCTTATTTCAATGAGATCCATCCAGTTGAGACAGATGATTCTTGGGATTATTTATTGTTGTACCTTTCAGTTTATAGTAAAATATAGTAAATAAAAAGTGTGTCTTTATGTTATTAAAATCTGTACTTTTTCCTGTACTCTATAAAATAAAAATAAACATCTATTGCTTTTTGAGTATGGGGCTAATAGTATTGTCACAAACAATTTTCTTGTGATAGAGGGTTTTGTTTTATAAATTCTGAAAAATGTGGCATGCTTTTGAATTTTAACCTCCTTTACTTTGATACTATAAAATACAATCCAATACAAGAGGTCACCAAATTAGAGTACAAAAGTGTTATAGGTGCATTGTTCCTGTTTGATCCTCTTTAATCCAACTTTGACTTGATGAAACAGTTTGCCTAGAAAGTCCAATTGCTTTGGTGCAGGTATGAATGTGTCATTGGACTCTGCTGCAAACTAAGAAAAGCAAATTTGCCAGCCCTTTCTTTCGCTGATGCCGTTTCCAGAGCAACTTCTGTGCAGTTCAAGATGACACGGACATTTGGAGAGAACTTCAGAAATTTCTGAGGCATACTGGCTTTTACCTTCTCACGACTAATCCACAGGTTGATGGAAGAGAACACAATGAAGAGGTAGTTGGCCCAGGTGATGGTCACTCGGCTGACAGTAGCTATGCTGACTTGAAACATGTCAGCTATGAGCTGCTCCTTCATGCCCACTGCTGCCCTGAATGAGAACATCAGGAACTCGTCAATCAGAGGCCTGCAGCAGGCAGGGCTGGCTTCAGCACATGCTTCCTCTCCAAGTTTCTGTGCTCTGGTCCAGCACACCAGGCGTGATGCAGAGGGAGCAATGGACTCCCAGAAGATCCGGAACACACATTCAGATGGAAATTTGGGGTAGAACCGGATCTGGTCATCAGAGGCACAGTAGCGGCTAAAAAGTGTGGCAGACAAATCCACTTTTTGAAGTCTGGCCTCCAACTCCTTAATATAATCCAGAGCTTCATCAAGTGCACCTGTAAAACCACAAAATAAAATAGCAAAACCTACGGTTAGCAATAAGTTTTAATTATATATTTGAAATATTACTTCTGTGAAGATCAATACATGTTGTGAGTCGGAGCAGCTATTGACTTAATCTCTCCACAAAATACATAACCTCATAATTTCATTATTATGTGATAATAATAATAATAATATAGCAACAGTTATATTTTACTGAAATTATCTTACATGGAAAATACACTGCTCAAAAAAAAAACTAAAGGGAACACTCAAATAACACATCCTAGATCTGAATGAGTGAAATAAATATGAAAATAATTTCCACCTGTTGTCTATTCCATTTGCACAACAGCAGGTGATATTGATTGTCAATCAGTGTTGATTTACTTGGAGTTATATTGTGTTGTTTGAGTGATCCCTTTATTTTTTTTGAGCAGTATATATACAATGTACCATCTTTTACCTGCGGGTGGATGTGCCGTGTTGTCATGGTTCGCAGTAGCATCTTCAGCCTGGCTAGCTTTCTGAGAGGACAAACTGCCGTTTCTTCGCCCTCTCGAAAGCAGACTCATTGCCGGTGCAGTGAAGTTATTCCAGGCAAACAGGGAAGGAACAGCTCCACTTTTAAGGCGGCTGGTGGTGGATCCGCTAACAAAATCATCCGGTGTGAAGTGGCGGCTACATACCAAAGTGCTCCCCGTCTTTATGCAAAAGTCCGGACCTTCATCTCTTCTGATCGTCTGGATCCACTGCCTCCGTTGGTCCGGGTTCGTCGGGAACGCAAGATAAGGCGGTTTTCTTGCCCCACATAAATAACCAGGGACTGAACAAAAACAACTGCGCCGAGACTGAGCCATTTTCCTAGCCTTTCAATGCTAACGCTATAGCCACCGGAAGTTGTCCAACCCCACATCCGCCCCGGCCCCGCGCATGCGCACATCCGTCCGGGACCCGCGCATGCGCACATCCGTCCGGGCCCGGCGGGGCGGGGGCCGCGGACCGGAAATCGCTCCAAAACAGGAAGTACACTACAGCACGGGGTATTCTGGGTAAATACAACCAAAACAATAGCTTTCCACCATTGCCGGGGAAAATGGCTCGTGGTCAGACATGGAGTGAAGAGGAGGTAAAGACCCTCATAAAAATATGGTCAGACGAAAATGTATTGCAATTACTGCTGACTACTCACAAAAACAAACAGGTTTTCAAGCTAATTAGTGGGGACATGGAGGCTCTGGGGTTCCCCCGCACAGCGTCACAATGCCGCACCAAGGTAAAAAAACTTCGCCAACAATACGTAAAAATACGCAACATGCTTAGGAACAACTGCAGCGCTGACGACGCGAAGGAGCAGTTTCCCTGGTATGATGAACTGGATGCCATGCTTGGCAGTCTGCCGATAAGCAGCCAGTATGTTTTGGATTCCTGCAAGGAAGAGCCTCTGTCGCCATCCAGCCTGGAGCCGAGCGACTCCGAATCCACAACGCAGGACCAGGACTCGGAAAGAAGGAGTAAGTATGTAACCAAACCAAGTGAGAAAAACTACTTTAACGTTAAGCTCTATTAAAAACGAGCAGTCACATCTTGCCAGTTTTGCGGTTATTTGTCATGAACACAGACTCTTGAATGAATATAACTGTGGTGATTTGTTTGTAACATTTTAATTAAGCAGATAAAAGTGGCGCCGACATTAAAGTTGAAGAGCCGCCCATCACAATCTCCCTGCTGGATGAAGAAAGGAGCCCACCAGAAGTGGCTGTACCCGGCGCTCAGAAAAGAAAGCGAGATACAAAGACTGATAAGTTTGAGAAAATGTTTGTGAGCTATCTGGATGAGAAGAGAAAAATGGATGAGGCTGAATGCGAAAGAATGAAGCAGGAGCAAGCCTCTTTTGAGAACTTCTTAAAAATGCAGCAAGAAGCTGAAGAAAGGCGTTTCCAGTTAATGCAAGAGCAGCAGAAGGCCAACAGTGAGATGTTCTTTCAGATGATGTCTAGTTTCCTTCATGCTGCAGTTCCCCAATCCATGACTCCATCTACCCTGCAGCAGTCGATGGCCCCTCCTCCAGTCACACCTCCATTGTGCCCCTTTCCACTTACTCACCACACTGCAAACTCATCTTTGTTCAATGGCCATCAGCCATTGAACAATGCAGAGATGGCAACCACATCTCTGCATTCAACATCTTCTGATTCTGGTGACGTCAACAGAGATGTCTTGGAGTTTAGTTCATAATATTGAAAAAAGGCCAAATTACTCTTTTGTGATGGTATCTGTTAACTGTTTTATTATATCAAAACAGTTTGAATGACCCATGTAAAAGTTATTCAAAGATACATATTTTATTTTTTAGAAGAATGTGAATAAAAAGGGTGAGCATTCAATGTTGGACTATTGTGTTCCAATAAAAACAAAGGATGAGCAAATTGTCTTTATTTTCCTACAAATCTTGAAACATAATCACCTGTCCAAAATAAAGTTACAAAACTATGTTTTGAAATCTAAAAAAGTACAAAATTGTGTTAAAAAAAACAAAAAACAAACAACACTCATTTACAAAATTTTTACTGTGCCAGGTATGCACACAGAGCATCCCTAATTTGGACCCCATTGTTGGGTGGAGGGTCAATCTCTGAGTCCACAAAATCATCCATATTATCTGCAGGCTCTTCATCTACGCACTCCTCATTGGCAGTTTCACAATAATTATGTAAAATGCAACAGGCTGATATTATGTGACTAACAAAGGAAATGTGGGCATCACACCTCTTGAGAAGGCACCTCCAGCGGCCCCTCAGTCGTCCAAACGCCCTTTCGACAGTCATTCTAGCCTGACTGAGTCTATAGTTGAAGTTTACCTGTGGTTGTGTTAAACCGTTCCCCTCTGGAAATGGTTTCACCAACCAAGGCCGTAGTGGGTATGCAGCATCTCCGAGAATGTGTAGGGGTACGTCCACATTGTTCAGTCTTTCTATCCAACCTGGGAACAGTGTCCCATTTTCACCTCTACTATACAATGAAGAGTTGACTAAAACCCTTGCGTCACTAACTTTTCCTGGAGAGCCCACATTAATATCCCAGAATTTCATTTTGTTGTCTACCACACCCTGCAGAATAACAGAGTATGCATTTTTCCTGTTGTAATAGTCAACAGGATTCTCATCCGGTGCCATAATGCTGATATGAGTCCCATCAATTGCACCTGCAACCTGGGGTAACGCCCATTGATCCCTGAAGCCCTGGACAATAACCATAAGCTCTGCCTCTGAAGGGGTTTTTATATACAGAGATTTCATTTCCACGTTAATAGCAGTAACAACCTGTTGTGTGACACAACAGGCTGTAGAAATGCCAATGCCAAATAGGTGGGAGATGACGCGATACTCCAGATTTGTTGCAAGCCTCCACAGACATATTGCAACCCGCAGCTCAACATGAAGTGGACTACGAAAGTTAGTGTGCTGTCGTGTCAAACGTGGTCGGAGGATGTCACAAAGATGCAGAAAGGAGGTCTTTGTCATCCTGAAGTTTTTTTTCCAATCCACTTCATCCCAGGAGCTGCTAACGGCTTCCCACCAAGTTGATGGACGTGGCTGAACCCATATGGTCCTACAGAGACAAAAATACAAAAAACATAAGTAGTAATTCCCTATTTCTTACATTATTAACAATGGAAAAAAGTCATTTCACATTAATTTGAAGGTTTCACTTTGCAAATATCTAAATAACAGATTAACAATACAACATGTTAAAAACAATAATAATAGTTATATGTTCAATTTATTTATCCATTCATTATCTGAACAGATTTATGCTTGCAGGATCGTGAAGGGATCTGGTGGCTATCTTCAGTGGCCAGTAAGTGAGCAGGGTACAAATTAAGTCAATAAATTCAATTCAGTTACAATAAATGACATCTGGAGGTACTTTACAAAAAAGTATTTTTCAATTCAATCACTATACATTCCAGTTAATCCTACTTAACAGAAAATTAAGCTCAGTTAATTGCTAAAATTAGTTTCCAAAGTTTCCCCGGAAACCTCAAATAGGAGAACAAGACATTCGAATTTGCTGTTGAATGTTATGTGTATTGTTTCCAAATGACATCACCCCTCCTCCATCAAGATGGTCTGTCGCCATCTTGATAATATGAAAACAGTTTTCTACTTCATTGATTGCAGATAAGAGAACCACAATGCTTGAATATTTTTGGATTCAAGAATGCAAAAACAAAGGCAATGAAAGAATAAAGAGAAGTTTTCATTACATCCTGTGAAATATAATGCACCGATTACATTTTACCGATTTCGCCAGGTAATTTATTGGCACCAATTTTTCTCATTTTGGGCCGATCTTATCGGTCTCACTAAAAAACTAAAATTAACCGCAGTCCTCTTCTGTGAAGGTTTTTTTTACTGATATAACTTCTGCACGTTTAGTTAATCATCACCTCACTTTTAACAACTTTCTCGCTTTACTCAGTGACATTCAGACAAAAAGGAAGTGGATATCGGCCAGAATCGGAATGGCCTTTTTAAAAATCGGCAAACGGCCTGAAAACTGCAATCGGTGCAAAACTGTAACTCAGTTGGTCAAAAGTATATTGAACAGCTTGTTTAACATAAACAAGCCTTGGCGTTTCCGGGTTTGCGTACTTCCGGTCCGGTGTTGCGGAAACTATCTTGTTTGATGTTGGATAACAGATTCAATAAGTTACTTTTGATATGTGTGACGTCACTGAGCAACAATTTTAATGAAAGTACTCAAATCTTGTACCTCTGTTGACGTCTGAAAAAGGCGGACATGATCATCGCCACCATTAAGTTGGATGCGCGTCGCTTCATGCGGAGCCGTTTCATCCGCCTTGCGTGAAAATAAACCTTCTGCGTGACCTTCTGCCTCATCTTCCACTCATGCTGAGCCCACTGCAGAAAAATGTTTGTTTGGCACATTTGCCAGCGACAAAACAGAAATCCTAAAACCGCTAGAATCTGATGTCGCTCCATTTTTGATTACAAATAAAGACAGTTGCGCGCGGCGTCTTCTTCGGGGTTTTTGCGTGGTTTCCTTTAGCAGTTCTTGGTGCAGCGCCTCCAGAGGCGAAGGAGTAAATAGGTTGACAGTGCTGTGTGAATGTGAACCGCACCAGCTGAAAATGTGACAGATATTGCCATTTAAGGGTGTATTCACAGTCCCCAGTAGAACCATCTATATAGTGGAAGAGGCTGCATGAACAGGACACGAACCTTTACATCTACCTAAACCGACTGAGTGGTTAAGATCAGAGAATAATATGTTAGAATGATCCATTTGGACTTAAATTAATTGAAGGTATATGGCAAGATTAAAAATGTAAGTTTCCAGAAGAACTCGATCCAATTCATACATCAATTTAAAGTGACAAACTTAAGCAAGTTTGTTACTTTAAACAAATTTGTTCAAAGTTTGTTTAAAGTGACAAACTATGACATAAATTATTGACGTCATAGTTTGCGTCAGTGGTGAAGCATCTATAAGGTGTCTGTTGTGCATTTTATTTGCAGCAGTTTTACAACAGTTATTACTAATTTAAAAATTAGGCACAGATTGTCACAATAAACAGAGCAAATTAAATGGTCTTCACAAACAAACGATGGCTACCCTGTAATTACAACGTCTCTGGTTTAGCAAAGACTCAAACAGCTTGTTTTGCGGTTTCAAGCTGACCTTAGCCAATTTCCTTCCCAAACTGAGATTGGCCATCTAAATTTAATCTGTAAGCATCTCTGACACGGGTCACGTTATGCTAATTAAGCCTTGAGCAACTGTAAGAACTGCTTTGTGGAGCCATGCATCTTTTAGGGACAATTTTCCAACTGCATGAGGATGGAAAAGAGAGGTATAGTTGAAGAAATGAATGAAAAAGAAATCACTAAGGCTTAAGGACATTTGAAAGAACACTAACAAAACCTTCCCATAAGTTCTATTGTTTTGTGTGTGTGTGGGTGTGTGTGGATGAGCGGCACACATTAAACTTTTTGCGCTATGACTCAGACTTCCCTACAATTACAAGAGGCGATCATACAATCCCGACTGCAATCTAACACAAATCTTCCCACACACTCCTCTCTTCTCTTCCTTATTTCCCCTCTTCTACGCTGAATTCTTTTACATATGGTTTTAGTCTGCATATTAAAAAGCACATGAAACAAACTGGCAACTTTCAAATCATGGCATTTTTCGATGTTTTTGAACAGGAAGTTGTGTAACATTCCAACGCTCTGTGACAATTAAACCTTTGTTTTAACAATAAATTTAGCGTCCCGTTACATTTTTTGCTCTCCTGCAGTTGTAAAGAGAGCTCGGCTGGTCAGGGTTGAGTGTGTGTGTGTTTTAATGACAAAGACCCCAGCTCTGTATCTGGAAGTAATCATCTCGTCAAGGCTGCGCTCCACAACCCCCTCCCTATGATGTAATTGGAGGGGTTTTTTTGCATGAGGCTTCATGGAGGTTTTAGGGGATTTTTCTGAAAGTTACTTTTCATTCATTCTGATTGCTTGTTGTTACCAAAAGAAGATAAGAAGAGGTTAAATTAGCAGGTCTGCTTTATGTTGTATATCCCTCTGGTATTTTGGGGGTGTTTTTACCCTCCGTCTGTAGTCTGGGGGAGCGAGGTTGGCCCTGATTCAAACACAGCAACAGGGGCCTCTACCCGCCTCCATATATACTGCTGAAACAACAGTCTAACATCAAGTATTGCAGACACCTTTTCCCCCTTAAACACAATGTGGGAGGGCTCCACTGTGTGGTAAAAGTCTGGCAAAGATCTTATTTGTCTGCAGATTAAAAACACTCAGAAACTGTTGACAGAAGATTTGGTTTAGATAGTGAATTTGAAAACGACGGATGGACTCTGTCACAAGACGTGTGCACATTTGCAGTAATTCACTCAGCGTCTCTGTGCTGGAATATGATCTAACAGTCACATGATATCGATCAGTGCGAGGTTAGAGGTCAGAACTAGATGTTTAGAGGAACAACATCTCTTAGTAGGAGAGATTAAATGTTGATACCTCCTAAAAATCTCTACATATTTTGATAATGCTACTTCTTAGTCCTTTTCTTCCTGCTTATTTTTGTTGTGGTTTATGAGTGATTCCCTGCGCAACCAGAGAGGGGCAGCAGCTGTGCCTCCTCCAGGAAAGTAAACACACCCGCTGTCTCCCCTCTCACTCCCCTCCTGGAGAGGAAAATCTCAGCAGAGAGTTGAAGGTGGGAGGGGAAAGGGTCTCCTGTCTGATCCTTTGTCATGGGAAGACTTTCCTCTGCTGCTTCAGAGCAGAGAGGCAGGCAGAAAGAGGACCTGAGCTTCAAAACTTAATAAGCGGCCAGCAGAGGATTTTAAACTATGTAAACTTGAGGTCAGTGTTTGTTTGTTTTTTGTTTGTGTGTTTTTCACCCCTTTCATTACATATAAATTCATTATTTTCTGATCAATCTTTTGATTGAGACAGTGATGGTCCTGGAAAGTGACAGAGTTGTATCAGATTTCATGTTAGGTTGCTCTGCTCTGCACTGTTTATATTAGAGCGAGGTTCACAGCTGCCACCAAATGTGTTTGGAATGTAAAACACTGCAGAAGAAATGAGCTGAATTTGATTATGGTATAAATTATGCACAGGGTTGGGTTTCAGAGATTTTTGCAAGAAATGTGCAAAAGGTCACAAAAATAAATTTTGATCCAATTTGATGATTAAAAAATCTCTATGGTTTCTCCTTCATGACCACTGCATAGCTACATAACAAAACAGTGTTGTGGAAATTTATTTGGATTACATTGCATGCAGTTAAATTATAAGCATTTCACAAGTGAATATTTATGTTTATTTAACTGCAAATGAATTTGAAACATAAACAAAAACTATTGCATTCTCTACATACTTATTTAGTCAAATACTTCAATATGACATTGACACAAATCTGTCTGTCCACTCAACTCTTCTGTGCCCATAGTACTAAATGCACTATTTTTTTTATGTATCAGGTATTTGTTTTGAAAGTGTTAGCTTCACCAACACTACTATTTGTTACTTTGTGTCATTTTTATCTCTGGAAACTGTATATTAAATTTGTACACATCAGAATTTTGCGAATAGTTTCAGATTTTTTTTTTTTTTTTTTTTTTTGTGAAGCATTGACCTGGCGTTGCCAACAATTGCCAAGATAATTGTTGGCAATTATCTTTGAGAACCATCCCACAGGTAACAGGAAGAACAGCATATATAAAATGTGCTCTGTCCTTCCTGCGTTAAGCCGATATTAATTATTTATATAAGGAACAGACATAACATTACGCCATGTGTGCAAGAAAGCAGTCACAGGAGCTTACTATTATTTTAAAGACAAACATTAATTGTCCTGAGGTGAGAAATTAGTGCTGTTAGCACACCTAGCATCACAAATACAACAGTGTCCATGTTTATGCCTTAAAGAATGTCAAACCTTATTTTAACTCTGAGATTTACAAATGTTTGCCAGATTTCTAAATTCATCATGCTCCACATGTTGCAATAGGCCAAGGCTTCACTGTCTCATCTTAGACATCTCATCTCACTCTGGCTTTATTAGTTTTGAGCTAAGGACAAAACTGAATTAACACAATTTCCTTTTGAATATCTTCATAATTTTTTCTTTTCTTGCCTTCTCCATCTTTGGTTCTCTGATATTGAAACTAGCTAACTTTGAGTTTTCTTTCTTTAATAAGAACATTAACAAAAGAGTGTTTCTGTTTAAAGTTGTACTATTCACAATTGATCCAGTTCTATTGACCAGCTCTTTATTTTAAATAATAGAAATCAAGTTGCAGTTGTGTATTTATTTGCTGTGTGTCTTGCAGTTGCACACACAAGTTGGTGTTTTGGTACTCTGAGTGAGGTGGAGGACAGACACAAGGGGAGGAGCACAGTGTGTATTTATTTGATATATAAACATGGTATATATAAATAAAGATTTTATGCAGCAAATATTGTTAAAATCATCTCAGTTGTCTATACTGCCTACATGTAAATGTCTGGGACACTGTGGTCTAAAGAAAAAAAAAGAGAATTTCAAGAAAGAGACAAGTGACAAAAGTGACAAGTGATAAAATGGCAAGTCTGAACCAAAGAAAACGCATCTGCATGACAAAGTAAAAGTGATATTTGCTTGAAAAATATTTCATTCAAGTCTCAAGCAAAAGTATAACAGTTTTTTTTAATCTATTTAAAAGAAACAGATTCACAAGATTTGACTCTCTGCAAAATGCTTTAAACCAACACTGTTTCAGTTTCTGCGATCCAGTAGTGACTCTGTATGGTCCACTCTTTTACTGGAAAATTGCTTATGCATTTTCAACTTCTAAAGTTTTTCCATCTGTTATTCTTTTCTTAGCATGGAAATGTAATTGTAAAACAATTATTGAGAAATGCAAATTGACTGCGGTTTGGGCTTTACTCAATGTAGAAATACTTTTCTTCCCACACGTTAGATGAAAGCTATCTTATCAAAGGGCATTTCTCAAACTCTTTACATGTGCACCACCCTGCTGACCTAAAATGTGAGTGACGGACCAAACACCCTCTGCCTGTGATTTGAAGTGGGTGGATGGAGGGAGTTCACCCCCTCTCTCTTTTTCTTGGAGGTCTGGAGAATGAACTCATGCTGACTGGATGCTTGACGGTGTAAGAGGATACCCTGTTTCCTGTTGGCGCTCTCTCCAGACAGCAAGACTAGAAACTCTCAGATCAGCCATCTCTGTCTTTCTGTGTGCTGTGTGTGAGTGAATGCTGTCTGTGGATTCAGGAACAAGTCATGTCTGATTTATTAAAAATAATGGTCTTGGGTCTCTGGAACTAATTACATCGTCATTTACTAAAAATGCAAACCTGAAATGATGACCACTCATATATGACCAAAAGTTGTAATTTGTATTTTTTAAGGATACTTGAGATAACATTCTTTGCCAATTTTACTGCAAAAATCATTATGTCACTATTGTCACGAATTCAAATCTAAAGGTAAGGAGTGAAGTGAAAGAACCAACAGAACAATAAATTGCGTAATTGTCAGCAGACCAATTAAAACTGCTTTTCAAGATTTTATTGGGAAAACAGGCTAGACCAAAACTAAACCCTGTTTTAATACTCATTCCTTTGGAAAGTTTTTTTCTCCCCCTTTTTCTCTAAAATATGCACATCTGGAATATCAGATGGACTTCAGGCACTGTTTTTTTGTTGTTTTATTTTGTATTTTCAAAGGCAAATTGATGAGGGGACCTTATTTCATATATTCCCTTCATTGATAAAAACAAAGTTGTTGATAAGTATTGCAGAAATAGTGCTGTAACAAGTCAATAAGTAATAAGAAAATGATTAATCTCAATTTTTGAGTATTTTATAGCATTCTAAGGTTTTTGAGAGTTTCATAAAATTTCATAACATAACATTTATCTCATCAACCATATGTTTATTTTTCACTTCACCAATATTATGGTAAAGTGGTGTTTAGTAAATGTCTCTCATGTTGACTGAAATGTATGTATATGTTGATGCAACATCAACATGCATGTAGCATCGTTAGCGACAGACATGTGTGTCAAGGGTGCAGATTAGTGTTGCCATGTCTCGACTGCCAGCAAGCATTTGTGGTCACTAGTAATGAGTATTTTTCACTGCGATGGAATTTCGCACCACTTTTCTCTGTGAAATGGAGGGCTTTTGAGCATGAATGCCCTGTTTACAACCTCTCTTAGATTTTGATGTCCAGATATTCTCCTTTAGGAGTTTCAGAAAGCAAAATTCTTGGTTCAGGTCATTGTCCACCTTTCCGTACGACATTCATTTTCTGAAATGCCATCTTAACTTCCAAAACCATTAAGATTTATCTCATCAACCTATATATTTATTTGGAGGTCATCAAGAGAAATGTGATATGAGCTTTTGTGTTCTTTTTGGTAAAAATATATTTTTGTCTTGGTTCTGCCCAACCTGTTATTGTTTAGCAAAAGGCTGAAGTAATCAATTTTATTTTATATTATGTTGGATTTCTAATGTCTATTAGGTTTTGAGACTTATAAACATTCTTGGTGTTGTCAGACAGCTTTTTAGTGAGTTTGTTTTCAAGCCTTGTTGAGGTTAATTGGTTTAAATAGAAAAAAAACACAGGTGGCCAGCAACCTTCATCTGCTGCTGATAAACAGGTTTATCACAGGTTTATTTAATGATGATAACAATAGCTTTTCACATAGGGACAGACTGAAATGAGTTTTGTTTCTTTCATGAAAATAAACATTTCTTTATGTATTGGCTTGGATTATCTAAATCTGATTCTGAAACTGTTCAATCATCTGAAACATGCATAACAACCAAACACTATAGATGTATATACATGCAGCTCACAAATATTTTTATGAATGTTCTTTTTCAAGTTATAGAGAAAAAAAATATGTTCCATGACCATCACCAATTGTCTGCCACAATTCTGGCTGAGTATTTGGCTATGCTCGGGGTCAGAGCTCATTTCAAATGTTTGGTTTTCACGACCCATAAAATGTCTATTAGTTTGAGTTCAGATCTCTTTCTACAAACATTAACATCTTTTAGCAGTTCCATCCATTTTTTATTGAGTGTATATTTATTCCACTCTGGAAAAAGAAGAAATGCATGATTCAAATTCCCAAATTACTGTGATTTTTAAGGTGGTGATGAGTGCATGTAAACATCTGAAACAAAGGTGCCAAACTGATTAACACTTTGCCAACAAAATCTTCTTTTATTTCGCAACCTAACAGCTTTGACTCAATGGTACAACAATATTCATTCCTGTCTGTTGTTTTTTCACCCTGTATTGAAACTTTTCTCTTTCCATTCACAGGTCTCATCTGAATCATCCAAACTTCGCTCTGGTTCATCTGAAGGGGCAGATCATTGTGATGAACAGTATGCTTCCTCAAAGGAGCGCCGTCGCCACATTGGGCTACGCTTCTGGTGAGACAAATGATAGAAATCATATTGTAATCAGTTATTGATCTGCAATAAACAGTGAATGTTTAGCTGATAATAAAATCCACTAAGATGACACCAATTACAAATATAAGGCTTGTAAGTTGGAATTTCTCTACAGGTTGATAGTACTATGTAAGAGGTTAATACAATATAGAGAGCAGCAGATCTCTTCTCTCATTAGCATTAAAACCTAAAACTAATTTCCGAAGCCCATGTTTGAGGAGAGGCGAAGAATTTTGGTAAGATCAAATGAACTAGTAATAACTCATAGTGTATGTTCAGCGTCTTGCCATGCTGGCCCAGACACCATCATCTCTTTGCTTGGCTTGGTATTTGACTCTACTCTGGATATTATTTGCAGTTGAGACGATGATGTATTCTGTCCCGTCTTGGTTCACGAGCGTTCTTCCATTTCTAGAAGAGACCAGACCAATGACTGAGCCAGTGTTTGTTTTGGCCTCAGAACTGCAGCGTACATTCTTCAGTGGTTTTCCCCTCTTCTTACCAAGCACACACCAAGCACACAAGATAGCAGATCCTGTCGCTCAGCTTTTGCTTTGTGTTGTTAAAGACATTTAATCCAATATGGCTGATTATATAAATTAAAGAGTCTGTTCATGTTGAGTCCTAAAAGGGGCAGGATTTCACGCTTTGTCAAACCTCTGTTTTCTTCAGACTGTTTGAAGATTGAGCACAGCAGTGGCAGCTCTGTAGGGGGCACATTGCTGAGGGGCTCTCGATCTAAAGCTGAGCTTCAGGAACTGATGGAGACTCTACAGCGCAGAAAGAGTGCTCTGGAGGCCAGCTTGAGGGCAGCTGAATGCAGCCGCAAGTACCTTAGCGTACCTGCATCTGTTGTTGGCCAGCCCAGCAGACCATTGTCCATCCTCAGCAACACAGAACGACCTCCATCCGCCTCCAGAAACTTTTCCTACATTAATAGCAACAGTGTGCCTCCATCGCCACGTCAGGGCGAACGCCAGATTAGCGCCAATGGTTTGTTTCGTCATTCCTACTCTCGCCACCAGTCACAGGACAGTCTGCTGCTTTCTAATGCATCTGATGGAAATTCTTTGCTGCCCTCATATGGGGAGCCAGTGCCTCGTTCCCCTAGGGTCAAGAGCGGGGCGGCCAGTATGCCATCCAGTCCTCGGATGAGCCGTAGACTCAGCTCTCAAAGCAAAGCCGTCGGAGAGTCAAGGCAGAGGAAATACTCCACCGGTTCTCTCAACAACCTGGGGATGCATAGCCGTTCTTTGCCACGACTTCACAATGCGGCAGACCCCCCTGTGTTGTCGCTGCCGTCTCGTCACTCAGTGGGTTCCCACAGGGTGGTGGTCTCAGCAGGACAGCGGCGCAGTCTTTCCTCCCTCGAGCAGCCCCCAGATGTGACCGTTCCTGCAAGCATGCCCAGCACATCCAGGAGGTCCAGCCTTGCTTCACTTAGCTCCCTAGGTATAGAGATTGATGGAACGGGATTAGATCTGGGCTTAGGAGAAAGGAGGTTGTCATTTGGGAAAAGCGGACTAAGTCCAGGACAGAGGGTGGGCAGCATCAGTTCTCTGAATGGCAAAGAAGAGCTGAGAGACTATCACCAGCATCAGAGAGATGAGCGACTCAGGGAGCAGAAAGTGCAGAAATTGGTGAGTTGTTCTTTTCTTACTTTTTCTTTGGTTGACAATTGATTGACTACAAATCACCTAATCTCCTGTGTGTAGGAATGCCAGCGTCTGGAAACCATCTTAAGCCTGTGCACTGAATTGGGACAGGTGGTGAGAGAGCCAACGGGCTCAGCTGTTTCTGATCTGCAAAAGATCAATAAGGAGCTGGAGAAGCTGCAGGTGTCGGACGATGAGTCTGTGTTTTCTGACTCCCCTAGCAGCACTGCTCCAGACACCAGTTTTGGGGCCAAAGCCAGAGATCTTCAGCTTCCTGAGGAGCAGCAGGCCATCCAGCGTCAGCAGGGAAACTACAGGTCTCAATCACCTGCTATAAATCTGAACAGCACCGCTCCCTCTCCTTCTACACACCACAGAGCCAAAGTAAGCAGCATCACAGAATAAAGATAGATCAAAAGTCAAAATGTTGGCATTTGTTCTGAAGTCACTTCACTGGTACTCAGAGAAAGATCTGTAACCATAACTTGCAATTTTCTGTTCCAGAATTATTAGGGAAACCTTCACTGCAGTAAAACCTTGTAAAAAAAGCAAAAAAAAAAAAAAAAAACTAATGAGGCTCTCCCCCTTCTGTGGAATGCAATTAATCTGAGTGCTGACATTATGTTTATCTGTGTCTGTTTACCTTTTTGCCATATCTCAGTTTTTCTCAGCTTGAAGTAAAACAGTATTCCCTATCCACATTTCTACCAAAGAACAGAAAACAAGGTTTCCAAGAAACTACAAACTATGAAAAAACACAGACTCCTATTACATTATTTTAAACACACACACATTTTGTTGATCAAAACTGGAAAGCTGGAATTGTGTGTAGCCCTCAGAGCTCTGCTTTGTGGTTTTGTCCACATAATTTCTATGCATAATTTCATTCACTGAAGTCTTTTTTAAGTACTCTAAGACTGTGCACTTAGCAATTTGTACAGTTCCTGTTTATGTAAGTTGGACAGACATGTAAACATGGAAATCAGACTCCTCAGGCTTTTAAGTCACTATTATCTGACCTCATTTTTATTCCACCACCTTTTTTGGAGACGTTAAACTGGAATGCCTCAACGCTCTTTATCAAAAATAAATAAACATGTTTAATCCACGAATAATAATAAGCTACCCACATACCAAATTATGAGAGGGATTTTTTGCTTCCATAGAGGCCACCTTTTTCCATTCTATCTTTTTTTCCCCAGTTTTTCCAGTCTTGAGTGTCTGGTTTTAATGAAGAAGTTCAAGTTTTGTTTCAGCGGTGAACCATTCAAACTCCTGGAGGAGTGTGTGTGTGTGTGTGGGGGGGGGGGGGGTGTTGCAGGGGGGAGGCAGGAAATGACTCGATCCCACAGTGAATTATTGTGTGCATGTGTTTGTGTGTATGTTCAGCTGTGCATGGATGTGCAAAAGGAGAATGCAAGACTGCATGCACAGCAAAGACATGCACTTTTCCAGATGTTTATAACATCTATCAAAGTGATAGAGATGAGAAATTGAAATGTACAAGTAATCCTTTTTTATATTAAAGGTTCATATTTTCTTTAGATATAGCTCTCATAAAACTCAGAATCTGAGTTCAGTGTGAATTTTTATGTTTTGTTTGAGTTGCGACAGTGTTTTATCGTCTCCAAATAAACAATCTCCATTGCTGACATTCCTCAGAGGAGTGTGTGCCGGACAAAATGCTGCTTACAACACATCTGACGGAAGTATAAATCAGGAAGACTTGCTAAACATACAAGTGTCAGATGAGAAAATAATCCACCTGGCTCCTATAAGCAGGAATAATTTAATTCTGAGATAGCTTGCTTCAATTTAAATGTGTGACTGAATATTTAAGAGATGTTGCTTGATGGTGCAAGATGTGGGAGTGCCTTGGCATGCCTTGGATTGCCCAGCTCTAGTAGTGATTTCCATTGCACAAAGTGGAAAAGAATCCTGCCCTTGTTGCCAGTGATCCTTTTTTGGATGATTTAGGCAGCAGCTGCTGTTGTGTAACAGAATAAAACCCATATGACAAATAATTGCAAAGGCATAAACACAGAAAACTGTCTCTTCTCTTGTTTAAAACCGTTTTTATTGACATGATGACATTTTGAACAGCTCAGTTGTGTGTTTACATTTGAAGCCTTTGATTTATTTCCGTTCTCGGTGTCGTTGTAGGCCTTGGAGAGCATGCAGCTGAAACAAGAAGTATCTCATTTAGAGGAAGAGAGAATCCAGGTTTTGAACAACATTGAAGAGCTGGAGCAGAAGATCAAAGACCTGGACAACCAGATGGAGGAGTCTTTGCGTGAGGTACAGCCAGATAGCTATTCTGTGCCAGATAGCACAGGCACAGAACCAACATCTGAATGACTCTTTTCCTAACATTTCAAAGAAAGAGTGATGATAAAGAAGACCCGATTTCTTTGGATTTTCCTATTTTACTCGACATCTACCTTTTTAACAAGATTTTTTTTAGCTTTTTTTAACTTAGGGAATTTAACCCTTCTGACAACTTATATATTTTGAAGAACAGCAGATTATGTATAATGCAAAAAATCGCCAGGTGCCGTAGGCCATCTGATTTAATGTGTGATGTTTTGTGCATATGATGGTTTATTTCAGCTGCTGTTGCCATTCCATCATTTCAGTCCATTCAACTCCGAACTTTGACATCAACAAGGCATTTTAATCCAAAATGAAGAAATGGTTTGGGTGGAAATCCCAGCAGATCAGCAGTGTCTGAAATACTCAGACAAGCCAGTCTGACACCAACTGGTTCTGGGGATCATATTTTCCTATGCATATGTTTATTTAAACATTTACTGCAATGAATCTATATTACAAAAAATGTACAAGTAATCAAAAATACCTACTCAAAACTGAGAGTCGGAAAGCATATTTTCCAAAATGCTGTCAGCTTGTTTTTATATGATGCCATTTGATGGGATAAGTTACCAAGGTGACTAAAAAATAAATGTACATCCAGGACTCCTACCTATGTCTGACCTTTCTGCAGATGGAGGTGGAGTGTGCCCTGCTGGACGGAGAACAGGAGTCTGAGATGACCCAGCTGCAGAGGGAAAAGGAGCTGTTGGATGAACTCAAAGAAAAAATGCAAAGTATCGAGAGGACAAGCAAGCCTGAAAAATCTCAGGTGCAGATGCACAAAAAGCGTTTTAAATAAATTAACCATTGCATTTGGCTGCAAGGTTAGAGTTCTGGTGGACAGATAATAATATTTATGGTTGTTTTAGTATAAATTGATTGCACACTAGTAATTGTTTAGAAATAGAAAGCAAGCATGAGGATGTTTTGATGGCATGAGCCGTAGCACTAACAGACTATTAGGAATTGGTCCAGTTAAACCACAACATCCTAAAAAAAGATTCTCTTACATTTCCTTTGAAACTAAACTAACTGAGCTTTTCAAAGTAAATGATGAAAGCCCTAAACCAAAGGAGGGATTAGTACAATTATCACAGCAGCTGAGAAACCTTCTATGAGCTCTCACCAACTCTCCAAATAAGGAAGCACAAGCTTTTCCAAATGATGCTATAAAAATAGTCCAGTTTAAACAGCCCAGGAGACAGCGGCTGGCTGAAATGCAGCTTAAGCACTTGAACTAACTCAAAACCCAAACACTGCAGTTCTCATTTTTCACATTCGTCTCCTGCCCTTCCATTCTTTTCCCAGTACGTCTGTTTTAGAGTTATTACTCTCCTTTCTGACCTTGTTCTGAACATTCCTGGATCATGTTGTTTCTAATTATTTCATTTTCATCAGTTTAGTATGCCTGAACTGTGTGATATAATCTACATTTGCATTCGTTTCTGATGTTGCCCAGGAAAGTGAGGAGCAGACAAAAACCTCAGAGGATTCAGAATTTCAAAAGCTGGAGAGAGAAATCAAGCAGGAAGAGGAAAACGAGAGTCAAAGCCAAGAGTTACTGCGGGACATCGCTGAGTATCAGCGTCTCAGCGTCACTCGCAAGGTAGAAGAAAACTGGCTGAGTTTTTCACGTAGCATGTTGACACTTTGAGGCTTTTGCTTCTCTACATGAAAAGTAGCTTTTGTTCAAAATGGCTAACCTCTTCAAAGTCACAAGCAATTTCTGATGATGACTTACAATAAAAATAGCACAATGCAAATATTAGTGTGATTTTTAGCTTATAATTGCCTTTTTATGTTTGTTATTAACCTTTTTGCAGGTTCTGCATAAAAGCTACAAAGTTGTGAGCTCAGTTGCTGTGAAATCTTTGACATAGTTTAGTTACAGTAAGCCTGCAAAACCAAGGACATAAGAAATGATCTAAATATGTCTAAGTTAAATGTGAAAGAAATTCTGATCTTTGATTAGAATTTTAAGTGACATGATTTGTAAAAGTTCTTATGTCTTGGCTTGAACATTTTTGCATTTTGTGTGACCAAACTAAAAACATTGTACATATGTAAGTATATTTTATTGGAGTTGAAATAGGTAAGGATCAGGTTCATTCAAGTCCCAAAGGCCAAATAATATCTCAGTAAATGCATATAAAAAAAATCAAAGTTAAGGTTCGAAATGAAAATGAGGAAAGTGTGGCAGGAATTTGTATTGAGCCCTCCTGAGTGAATACTTTGTAGAAACACATGGTGAAATTGATTTTGGTTCATGCCTCCCCCACCTTTGCACATCTATAGATTTTTTTGTCCATTATTCTTTGCAGAATGACAGTCAAGTTAGATGGACTGGACTTTTCACTTCACAATTAAGCAGTCTTTTCTAGTGGTCTGTTACACTAAATCCTGAGAAATTATTGAGGTTTATGTTCATAATGTGCTAAAGTGCAGTAAAGGTGTGACAAACATATTTTTCTAAGGCAATGCATTTACAAGGCACCATCTGCTGCTGATTCTTCAAACTACACTCCATCTCTCAGCCTCACCGCTAATTTAACTGTTTAATTTTTCTTCCTCCTGCACTTTGATAAAGTCAGCAGATATTTTTTACTGACACCACCTTGTTGATTCCCCCCCACAGGAAAGAATCATGACTCTGAAGAAACAGTCCTCTCAGATCACTTTACAGGCTCAGCAAGAGAAAGAAAACTTCCAGAGAGAGAAAAACAACTTGCTTGTCATGCTTCAAAAGGTAAAGAAAAAACTATCTCTGCATGCGGATGTCATAAAAGATTCATTTTAATCAAGTAAAGACTATGTGGCATCTGCAGGAGAGAGACAAGCTGCTGTCGTTGGAAGGAAAGTACGCAGAGTTGTCTGAGGGCCAAACTTTGATCAACAACCCTGTTACCATCAAAGAGGTAGGAGTTTGTTACAGTAATGCTGCAGCACTTTCAGAATAATTTCCTGTTTTGCGATTGCTCTGATTTGTATGATTGCTGCAGCACTTGAACTCCCTGAAGGAGAGGAGAAGAAGTAGCAAAGAAAGCTCTTCCCATCCTATCGAAAGCATTCCTCATAAGAGAGGCCAGCAGCTCCTCGGCTCCTATGGCAGATCTCTGGGACGCACGCTTCCTCCCAAGGTCTGATTCGCAATCTGAACCAATCCAAGAAAAACATAAAGGTGTAAAAAGTTAAATAGAGTGGGTAGTGATGTTAAAAGGTGATATTCTTCAAAGTTGTAGTTGACTGCAGTATGCTTGAGTGAAGAATAAAATCCAAATGACATTGGTAATTCAGATTCCAGGCTTTAGAGGAGAGGGTTTTATAGCCTTATCGTTTTTACCCAGACAACTCCCGTGAGTCGGATCCACCCAAAGCAGGAATTCTCACTTTCACTCTTGCTTGCGACATCTATTGAGATTAGGAAAACTTCCAGGAGTTGGGCTCTAATATGTGGTGCTAAACATGTTTGGTGCTTTCATATTGTTCCTCAGGCACATCTGCCTTTATCCCAAAGCTCCAGCTGTGGCAGTGTCATTCCACAAGGCTTCAGCTTCTCTTCCCGGGAAGTGAACGCCCGTCGGCTGCCCAAGGGTGAGTCAGAGAGACACAAAGGCATCTTTTTCCAAATAAATTCTAGCAATAGTTGTAGTAAATTATATTGCCCCGAACCTCTACGTTTGACTGGATTCATAGTTTTTGGATCACAGAATGCGTATCCTCCTTGAAATAGTCTGCTTTTCAGTATGTTACAATGACCAAGTACATCAGAAATGATGGGAAGGTGGCTGGAGCAAAATCCGGGAAAGTCCTGGATGAAATGTTGTCAGTGACTGCAGATGCACAGGCTTTCAGATTTGTGAGAAAAAAAAGGAACACTTTCTCTATGACCTTAAAGCAAAATAAAAAGAGGCATAGACATTTCTTGAAGTTCCTGTAATTTAGGAAGATACTACTCTTTATTTAAGTGTTTTAGCAGTGGTTGCCATTTGCTGCCAGGGCTTCATTGCCATGTTGTTCTTTCAGCAGGAAACAGCCATGCTCACATGAACGACGACAGACAGAGGCAGAGCGATTTTTGCAGCAGGATGGTCTCTGAGGCCAACGTGTTCCTGGACACCTTCTCGTACCCAGACAACAGCCAGGCATCGGACACCGTCAGTGTGGACAGTTCGGACAGCCTGGAGACCAGTTTCTCTGCGTGTTCACCTGACAACATCTCCAGGTGAGAACGAAGCGCTATGATAGACCATGGAAGCTCTTTTACGTCCATTTTAAGTAAAGAACCAATAGGAGAGTCATTGTAATTTATCAAAAAAAATGCTTTTAGAGTGTGAAGTTCTTCAAGTGAGACCCTGCAAGAGTTTTATTGCAGAGGGTTTGTTGGAAGAAGGAGAAATTCTCTTGCAGGATGAAAGCTAAAGTGTAATTAGAAAGGACCTGAACTTTATGAAGGAGTATGAAAGAAATAATAAAGCAGAGAGAGAATAAAAAACTTGAGAAAAATTACTGTTTCTTTTGTGTTGAGCTGTGCGCTTCTTCTCCTAGTGCCAGCACTTCCAATATGGCAAAGATTGAGGAAATGGAGCGTTTACTCCGAGAGGCCCAGGCTGAGAAACTGAGACTCCTCGAGCACAGGGTAAATGGCCAGACCCGGACCGAAGCTCGGCGTCTGCATGCGAAAAAGCATGTGACTTATTTTCCAGCCGGGTTGTGCAGGAGCGGGAGATGGAGATGCGCAGGCAGGCCCTGGAGGAGGAGAGGAGGAGGAGAGAGGAGCTGGAGAAACGTCTGCAGGAAGAAACGAGCAGGAGACAGAAACTTGTGGAAAGAGAAGTGAAGCTCAGGGAAAAGCAGAGATCGCAGGTGATTCACATTATTGACGTAAATTCATTACAAAAGGGGTCTGATTAATATTTTAAGAAACTTCCTCTGTAGTCTCGGCTGCTGACTCGCTACCTCCCCGTGAGAAAAGATGACTTTGACCTTCATGGCCACATCGAAGCAGCCGGACACAACCCAGACGCCTGCTTCCACCTGGCCATCACCGACAAAACCTGCCGAGGATTCCTGGTTAAAATGGGCGGGAAGATCAAGACGTGGAAGAAACGCTGGTTTGTCTTCGACCAGAATCGGAGGACGCTCACATATTACGCAGGTAGGGACATCTATCTCTCGGATAAACTCTGAAGACCCAAAGTTTTCATCACATCACGCTTCTGTTTATGTGCTCTGCTGCAGACAAACATGAGAACAAGATGAAAGGAGTCATTTACTTCCAGGCCATTGAGGAGGTGTACTATGATCACTTAAAGAATGCACACAAAGTACGTGAGCAAATGTGCATGTGTCTTCATCCATAGTGAGGGCCAAAACCCAGCAAATAAATAGATTTATTAAAGAACATTTTGTGCATGTGTAAAACATTAAACTCTTTTAAAAAAATAGATAGATAAAACTGAATCTTTATCAATGTAAATATGTCAAAAGTTGATTAAGTGCATAATTAAATATTTGAGTTGAACATATGTAAAGATCATATGAAATTATTTTATTCCTTTATTTAAATCATCAGTGTAGCTCATAAAGTAGATATTTGCATCTGATTGGTCAAACTCAGACCAATCACCTTGACTTTTATTGGTTTTGCTTCCCCGATTTACTGACCCACCATATTTAGGTCCAATTTTTATAATTCTCTTTTGAAAAATGTTTAAATTATTAAAATTTAAAATACAACCAACATATTGCAAAAACTGTTGAATCTCCCTCACAATGATTTATATATGCAGTTATTTAACTAACTAATTAATTAATTGACTATGGATGAGAAATATATTCGTTTTTATTTTCTTTTTTTAAATTACCAGTAACTTATTTATTTGTTGGAAAGCGACACTTTTGGCCCTCAGTAGTTCCCATCAGATCCAATTTCCTTGAACTATCTCACATCTGCTTATCCGCTTCTTTTCTCTCTCCTATCCCTCTCTCCTCCCTCCATATATTCCCGAAATCCCACCCACCACCGCACACCAGAGCCCCAATCCTTCTCTGACTTTCAGTGTGAAGACCCATGACCGTGTGTACTACATGGTGGCTCCGTCTCCTGAGGCCATGCGTATCTGGATGGACGTTATCGTGACGGGCGCTGAAGGACACATGCACTTCATGGTGTAGCACACCCGCTTTCACCTTTATTTTCTTTGCCATTGAGTTAAACAAGTTTCAGTCAGAGGAACGGCAAACACATGTGGATCAGAGAGGGATTTTACCTAAACAGTTTCTGTGTTTATGATCACAGAAATTTACAAATGAGCAGAAAGGAAATCTGCGCAGGCTTTATTATGCAGCTGTGTATAAAAGACAAAAAGTGTTTGGTGTCAGAAGAAAGCCATGTGGGCTGTTTTAATTAAGTGGTTTATGTTTTGTGAAAAGCTTAAGTATCTCTTAATCTCACAGCAGGTAATTTTCTTGTTTTTTTTCATCAGGGAAGCTTCTAAATGATGGAACCTAACATGCTTTGATGGGTTGGCACCAGAACAAATTAGTTTTCTATTAAAAACAGTCTTTCATAATATTGGATGATTTTAATAAATACAGGTTTTTGTATTCAATGTGATTGTGAAAAGGTTGTAAACTGTCCCTCTTTTCACATAACTTGGAAAACGATAATCCTCAACATATTTTAGCTTTCCACCCTTTCTGAAAATTCCTTTAAAGCTTTACTTTGTACATTATGTAGAAAATACATTTTCAGCTAATAAATAGTGTCCAAAAGTTGTGTTTTCAACAGACAGTAAACATGCAACAACACAAAGGTCCTTCATCTTTGATATGAAAAGGTTCCAGCTGGTACCTTGTTGAAGTATTTTTTGTTGAAGTGTTTTGACTTTCATGTTTTTTAATTCAGGTAAAAATAATAAGTTGAACAGTGCTTCCAAAAGGCTGCTAAAGATCTGATTTAAATTAAAGCCGTTTTCTCTGAGTAGTTTTCTGTTGTGCCTTAAACACAAGGCACATAAAAGAAATTCACCCAAATTTTTTAAGGTGAAAACAAAATTGGGGTTTTCCACCTAAATTTTACAGCTTTGAAAGTCTTTCTTTTTGTGGCTTAGTTAGGAAACAGACAAAAAATATATATTTTTAAAATGTTAGGTACAAAATAAACAGGGAGGAAAATAATCCTCCATGCCAGTTTTGAATGTTACATGAAAGGCTTATCGTATTTTCTGGACTATAAGTTGCAGTTTTTTTCACAGCGACTTATGTGTGGAAATTAACACTTCATTATATCATATCACATGTTATTTTCACACTAAACCATAAGAGTTTAGTGTGACCTTCAGAGTAGGTAGCAGCTACATTCATTTAGCTTACAAAGTTGTTTACAAGTGACATCGAGGACGAAGATTTCATTGTGTTTAGTGATTTGGAGAGACACAGATGATTTGGTAAACTTGTTATTTATGCTATAATTATCTGAATAACTCTTAATATGTTATGCTAACATACCAGGCATGTTCTCAGTTTGTTATTTATGTGTCATGTAACGTTAGCATACCGTACAGTTATTTAGCCTATTGTACTTTTATTGCCTTTCAAGATGGCATGTTTGTTCTTGGTGTTGGATTTTATCAACTAAATTTCCCTCAAAAATGCAACTTATACTCTGGTGCGACTTACAGTCCGGAAAATATGGTACATTGAATTCTTACAGGAGGCTGAACATAAATACACACCACACTTTTCAGATTGTTTATTACAAGACAATTTAAAAAGCATTTTCCATTTTTCTTCCACTTCACAGTTACGTTCTATGTTGTTTGTGAATTCTCACAAAATGACTACAAATTTGTGTTTGTAATGTGACAAAATATAAAAAAGTCCAAGGTATGAATCCTTTTTAAAAGTATTGTATATAAAGAAAGGAAGAGTCACCAAAGATTTTTGCACAACACAGCACTTTTCTACTTCTGATGGTACTTTTCAGTGTTTCTACATCACAGCCAGACTTATCCTGCCCATCCAGTCTCTCTGAGTGGTCACAAAACGCACCTTCTGGTTAGCTCAAGATTATGAATCAGTTTTTTACTTGTTTCACCTGCTGCTTTCAGACGACCAAAATAAGCTGACCTTGTCTGCTTACCTTATGACAGGATTGAATGTCCACTGTTATTATTTCCTCTTTTGCTCATCTTTCATTGCCAAAGAAGCATTTTTTTTTCTTCGCTGAAATTGGAATAATTAAAAAAAAGATGATTAGGAATTATTTACAAATGCTGACTAAACATGAAGCCATGAAACTGCTACAATTACAGAAGTGCTCTGTTTTATGGTGTTCAGCTAGCTCCCTCTGTCTGCAGTGCAGGCTGCAGGCCTCACATGAAGAGGCCATGTTGTGCAGCAGTGATGCTGAATGTTCCTGCGTCACCCATGTGTTATTAACACTGATGCGTTTCACCATGTTTCACCAGCAGAGGTCCTCAGCGCAGAGTGATTGCGCTAGAATGACGTAATGCTCTGCCTTAAAACCCCAGAGTCATTTATATTAAAGAACATATGCTTTATCATCAGTATTTCTCTATGTTATATAAGCAGTTATGAGCACATGTACATCATGCTTAATAATAGCTTTTGTTTAAGTTTTTTTTGTGCATTTTTGTGTATTCATAAACAGATTGCCATAGTGAGAAATGTTTGACCAGCTGATGGTTAACAGACTGCAGGGTTCGCTGTTTATCCTGCGCTGATTAAGTGGTAATTAACTCCTGCAGAGGGCAGATCAGAGAGCTGATAGTGTTACAGATGTGTTGGTCCCTTCATTGTCTGTCACTTTAACATCTCATTCTTATCCAAGCCTTGAAACACGACAAACTACAGCATTCATATATTATATATATATATATATATATATATATATATATATATATATATATATATATATATATATATATATATATATATATATATATATATATATATATATATATATATATATATATATATATATATATATATATATATATATATATATATATATATGTGTGTGTGTGTGTGTGGGTGTCTGTGCATGTGTTTTTTGAATTGTGCATATAAGCACATTGCAATTGTAGCTGATCCAATAATTCAGGTTTTTATACTCAACTTGTGTCATGAATAAATACTTCTGACCACAAAGATTTGATGTCTTCATTATGCTTTTGGCTATAATACATTTTAGCAAAGAGCCAGAGTAATTTTTTTCACTAAACTGAAGCACATATTTAGTGACATATTTTTGTAAATATTTATACTACAACAATGTGGAAAAACAAGAATAAATAGTTCTGTTGTGCATTTTTATAACTATCAAGTTCTTCTTTAGAGACTTTATCTCACTATCACTGTCTCATTTTATTATATTACACAGCTCAAACTATCTTGAAAATAACACTAAAATAAATTCAAATGAAATATAACATTTACAAAGTATAAAATAAATTACTTACTGAAGTAATATACATGGTGATAATAATATATTAGCAATACAATAAAAACAATTTAATATAGATATTATGTTTGTTCTGCAGCAATAAAGCATTATCTTTTAAATTAAGGTATTCTGTAAAATACTAAATAATGAAACAAAGTTAAATCACAATTAAAAAGTTAATAACTATTCTTTTCATTTAATCTCTGTAAGTAGACAATGTGCATGTGCTCATTAGGGTACTCATGTTTTGAACTCCTCCCTCCATAATTTGTGGCTTTTCAATTGGTTGACCTAGTGGGGTTGGCATGGAAACACAGACTGAAGCATGCTAAATTAAGTCCTACAGAAGCAGTAGACCCTCCAGAGGCAGAAACAGACACAAACTCATCCAGACCATAGAAAACCTGCATGCCCCCAGAGCATTTTTCAGTGCTTTAATATGTGTAACATATTTAGGGCAAAGGGGTTGGCCTTTAAAGATAGCAGGGATGTGGTTAGGCAAACTCACTCCTGCAAATGTAGTGAGTGAAGCATAAAAGTTTTCAGGCTCTGTGGTTATGCCGCATGGAAGGATGTCACATTATAACTTACAGGCATGAAGGCCACATTACGACGGAATCATGTGAACGAATCCTGACAAAAGGCAGCATTCACTAAATGTCTGTTTTGGTGCAGGAGTCATACTCACACCAACAATCATTTTAGATAAAAGTCATGATATAATTCACCACAATGTTTCATACAGTAAGTCCTTATTAGCGCTCCGATTTCCTGTGCAAAACACATGAATCATCGCACATCTGCAATCAGTTTGTTTTTAAAAACCCTGTAATCCTGAAACACAGGTGTTACCTAGAAGCTGCAGAGCGTGTCGCAGCAGAGCCTGCAGGTAGAGATGTTCTTTATCTCGGGGAGACACAGGATGTATCAGCGCCCGATGTGGAGAACTCCTCGTGTTCTTCTCAGACCGATGTTCTTCTATTCTCAGCTCGCAGCCTTTGGCTTTATGGAGCAAATAGAGGTCTTTTTGTAAACATAGGAAACATTTAACCTTTGTTTGTTTTCTGTTTTTTTTTTACATCAAAATTTTTCTAATATCGCCACATGTCTAGATTCAGGTCCCGCATTTTAAAGGATAGTTCAGGGGGTAAGATTAGGTCAAAAGGTTCACATTTGACCTGAAGGAGATTTTACCTGAATGAAAAACAGTTTAATTTTTTACAAATTCAGGTTAGATGGGTTGTGGCTGAAAGTAACAGTGGAAATAGGAGGAAACAAGACCGAGGCACATTTCTATGGTGTAAAAGCAACTCTAATCTCTTAAATCTTTCAGCGGTTTCTGCTGACATAATTTCATTATCATTCAAGCTTAATGCTTCAAGTAGATTGTTATTCATAAAGATGTCAGTGAATATTTTCACAGAAAATCATGGAAGGAGACGTTGCACCACCTATGACTTTCCTCTGTGAATCATGTAGTGAGAATGAAACAACTAAAGGATTTCCAAGAGGTTGTTTGCTTTAATAGTAGAGCAGTTCAAACAGCTAAAAAAATTTCAGCTAAACTTTTATAATGTTTCAATGTTCTTATACTAGTTTGTTTTACTAGACAGTTACCTCAACCAGAATGCTTACTTAACACTGTTCTCCTCTCCTTATCTACATTATAAATAACCATCAACATTTATGTAAACTATCTTATGCGAGCACAAGGACAGTTTAGAAATGTAGAAAGTAAAATTTGCATAAGCTGTCATATCTTTTTTGAGATCACCGAATACTGCATGTGTGTAATGTAGTACATTTATCTCTACTTCTAACAGTCCGGGTTACTTTAAATGCACTGTATTTGTGAACATGCTCCTTTAGTGAGTGAATGTAAAACTGGAGATAAATAATATTTGGTAAGCAAACAAGTTGTGACTCCCTCTCGTTTTCTGTCTTGCTACAATTGCATGCTCTTTCTGAGTTTGGCTTCACTCCCAGATCAGGCATCACTGACAACTAAATGCACCAACATGCAAAATGATTCTTTGAATTACTTAATGTTTAGAGGCTTTTAACAGAACTTCCTTTGTTAATCCTGGTCTCTTCCTGTAGTGGGGGCAGTTTTAGGGATGGCCAGACCACTTACTCTTGTCTTTTTGGAAATTTCTGAATAATTACATGCTCTTTCCTAGCTCTAATAAAATTTTAATCTTATCTAAAGCAGAAGAGTTATTCAGCAAATCCATTTTCTTCCAAGAATAGCACTGACACACATTCCCAGGCCCTTTCGCTGATAATAAGGTATGCATGTTAAGTGCTTTTCCCTTGCAGCTGATTGGCTGATCCGAGCTGACATTCACAGGCTCGCTATTCAGGTCAGTGAGCTTGGAGTGCGAACGATGTTGGAGCGATGCTCCTGTGGGGGTAATCCTGGTGAGTAACAGAGAGGCAGAAAAATGGGCTAATTCCTGTTCTGCTCGAAGGCTGCGCAAAGGACAGGATACAATGGATCACTCATATTGTTTTATTGATTAAATAAGAAACAGAACAACACAGATGCTTCTCTACAGAGAGATATTGTTCTCTTCTGAGAATAACTGAGTTTAAAACAGACATGTGCCACTCCCTCTGTCTCAAACGTCCACATCGCCATTCATAATGGCCTCATAATGTCCGTTTCTCTGGAAAGAGCGATTTCCGCTCACGACCACAACAGCAGTTCACAGTAAGATCTTATAATGTTACATATGAGCAGCCAGGCTGTACAGTCCAATGTCTTGTGCAAAAATAATGGCACATTTTTGCTACATCAATCTGTAAAGAGATGTGGAATGTGTGTTTTGTTGTAATCATTTTATGCTGATCTCACATAAAGTAAAAGAAAAAAAAAAGAAGAAGGGGCTGGTAACTGGAAGGAGAGTCAAAAAGAATAAAAGTACAGAAGGATCCTACAAAAAGTGGGAGTAAGAAAAGTTAAAAGCAGTGTAGAAAAGACTGAAGAAAATCTGAGTCTGTAGGAAAAGCACCCTTGAGAAGGCACTCGCCCCGTTTGTGTCCTCTCCTCTGGCTGTTCCTCAGCCAGGTGTTCAGGTGTGACCATTGAGTGCATGTCCGACCAGCTCAGCACCAAAGATCCAGATTTTTACTCCAGCTCCCCATAGAGATGTTTGTTTGTGCTTGAATGCTGTCGGGCCCATTTCTTTGATTTTTCTTGGTGTGTTAAAGTAAAGAAAGAGTTACAGTATTGAAATGTGGACTAAAAATGATGATTTACATTATTAATCGTTTCGGTCCAGTGTGTTTGTTGTTTTTTTTACTTTCTTATCTGTGTGCTGCTTCCTGTAGTGGCAGGTTTATTACCTGCCCTGCGGACGGGCACCTTGGACACAGGGATCTTTGTGCGATGGGGCTCTTTTGTCTGAGAGACCTGTGATGCAGTGTGAGACCCGCTGCCATGCTTCAGAGGGATTTTTGAGTCACGCGCTGAACTTGTAGGAACTTTTGCTTGTTGAGGCTGCTGATGCTCCTCCTGGAGCTGTTTTGAGATTAGCCCAACTGCCTCCGGTGAGCTGATTTTATCTTTTCCCCCTGCATTATGTGAGTTGAAATAGGGTTTCTCTTGTAGCACAGGCGAAGTGAGGTCCTTGCTTGGTTCGTCATGCTGGTTTTCCCGAACAGGCTGCCTGCTGACTTTTCCTCCACCAACCACAGGTATTTTACTTAGACCCATTGCTTTTGACTGTGGTATCTTCTTTTCTTTGGGGGGAAGCTCTTGGTGTTGTTCTTTTGTTTTTGACGGGACACCTTGGCTCCTCTGTCCCCCTGCTCCATCCAGACTATCTGTCGATGCCTGCACAGAATCCCTAACCTTAGCAGAGGATGGTGTATCTATCTGACACGGCACAGGGGGAGGAGGACAAGAAGCAAGTTTGAGCTCAGGAGTTTTAGGCTGGGAAACAGGGCCGGATGTGGCAGAAACAGGGAAAGATTGAGGGTGGGGGGCGTCTGATGCCACAGGGGTTTGCGATCCAGAAAATTTGGACGTGTCAGGTGCAGGAGGAGTTTTAGATACAAAAACCGGAATCTCATCAGAGAAAGTAGCAATTTTAGACAAAGACTCCTGCAAATTCACATGAGCAGGCAGATCCTCAGATACAGAAACTGGGACGTTAGGAGGGGCAGAGCAAACTTTAGGTTGAGAAATTTCAACGTGAGTTGGAGCAGGAAGTTCTTTTGACACAGGAATTGATGTAACAGCAGGAGAAACTTTCATCTGATCCACAGCAGATGGAGTCAGTGATGATAATGAAGCAACATGAGTGGGGGCAGCTGCTGTTGCAGGCTGAGCTGGGAGCATCTTATCTAAAGAAACTGATGTTATGGAGGCTTTGGTTGTGGGAGGAATTTTGCCTAATGAAGCTGAAGTTGGAGCTGGGACAGACGCAGAGCTGGGTTGGGTTTTAATTGTAGCAGTGAAGGTTGAATTAGGGCCAGGATCAGAAACTGTTTTATTAAGGTCCAGATGGTTAGGGGTCAGGGTGGACTTGGATGTCAAGCCAGAAGTTGTGGTTAATGTAGAGGCAGATGTGATCTTTGAGGAAAGGATTGGTGCAGAAGATGAGGATGTAGTTGCAATCATGCAGGTTGCCGGTGATGTGAGGGAGACAATGGATGTTCCCACCACTGAACCTTGAGAGGGTTTGAAAAAAGTGGACTTGTCCTCATTAAAACTACTTCTGGAGGGAGGTTGGGTGACAGAGATGGGAGGACTGTGAGGTACTAGGACAGGTTTAGGTGATACAGACACACAATCAGGTTTACTTACAGATGCAGAATTTTGAGTAGCCCACGTAATCTTTGGTGCTTGTTTATCAGCTGTACTGGTCAAACTTGCACTGAATGAAGGAGGTTTGCTTACCGGGGCTGATGCATATGGAGGAGGTGCGGTTGTGGTAGGGATGGAGCTCATTGTGGACTGAATCGTCTCGAAAGCGGAAGATGTTGAATGAACAGTTGAGGATTTTGTTGAAGTGGGAGCAGGAGATTGTTTACCTTGTGTGCTGGCAGGAGCAGAGTCAGAACTCAATTCGACCGAGTGAGAACTCAAAGATGAAGAAGAGATGGCTACAGAGGAGGCTTTTACAGTAGCCACACTGCTGACTGTTGAGGAGGTTGTAGGAGAGGAGGAGAGGGTAGATTTGAAGAAAGGAGATGGAGATGATGGAGGGATGTCAGCACTGATGGCAGTGCTAACTTTACCCCACTCTGCTTCCACATCAGCCATGATGTCGCCACCCCCTGAGATTGAGTCAAAGGTCAGGAGAGAGGAGATATCTGCCAGCAGTGAGCTCAGGCTGTTATCACCTGGTACCAGTGGAGGCTCGGGGGTAAGTAACGGGGACACGTGCTCGTATGTCGTACTTACGTTCTCAGCAGATGTCACCTGGGCAGCTGAGGTCTTTGACGGGGTCAAGGCTGAACTGTTTGGAGTTGCTGAGCTCTGGACAGGTCCTGCGCTCTCGGTTTCAGGGCTGTCCAGAGCACGAGGCTGGCATTTAGGTGTGAGTGTCATGTCCTCTTTTATGATTTCCACGCTGTTAGTGCGAGATGACTGAAGAAGTGGGCTCGGAGGGGCTTCCTCTTTGTCCTCCTTATCCTTCGATCGGAGCTTAACATTGCTGAAGAGGCCCTTCAGACCTCGACGTTGCCGAGCCACAGGCTGCGACACTGTGTGCACTCTTCGATCCCCCACTCCTCTTTTCCCACCCCTCAGCAGCGAGAGGAAACCAAGGGACTTGGCCGAGCTGGCTGAAGAGATGGAGGTGCGAGCAGGGGCAGTAGCCAAAACGCCATCTTCACCGAGTGCCTCCTCCTCTGGTTGCTCCCCATCTTCTTGTTTCATGTCTTTTCCATTTGTCTTATCTTGCTCCTGCTCTTGTGCAGGAGTCTCATATAATTCCTCTGAGGTTTTACTCCGGATAACAGGTGACTTGTTGTTTCCTTCTCCTTTGTTTCTGATGGAAAAAATGCTTCCTGCTTTACGTTTTCCAAACAGTTTGAATCCTTTTCGGATTTTTCCAGATGGCTGCGATTCATTAGGCGGGGGGTCCGTGTTTTCTGTCTGTACATCCATCTTCTCTGTAAATCTCCCCCCCACCACCTATTTCTGTATCCTTTTGTTGTTTGCTGCAGTTATTATTCCAGAGCTTGTAGACTGAGCATTTACATCCAGCGCTTTATCTCCGTTTTGTAGTCGTGCACTATCTGCTCCTCTCACTGCATTTCTTTATCAGTCTCCTGTATCCCTCCCTCTGTGGTTCCCATCCAACCCTTTCTCCTCTATTTCTCCCCCAAAGCACCTCCCCTTTGCTTTGCTCTTTTTTTTTGTCTGGCTGCTCTCCCAGGCTGCCATGGCAACTGAGGAGCTCAGCAGCTTTCGTCACCAATGCGGAGCCGCGGGCCGTCATCAGCTCGGTCTGAACACAGCCTTCTCTTTTTCTCTGTCTGATGACTGTGTTTACATAAACAGCAAAGACAAATGCTCCATTAATAGATTCAGAATCGGACTTCTGAACAATCTCACTGTATGAAAAAAAAAAAAAAAAGCACCTCTCAGGCAAATTATTGCAAATTATCTAAGTGTATATTCTGCAGATAGTAGAAGTCTTACACATATTCACTTTTTTCACCTCCATCATACATAATCATACTCTGAAAAAAAGAAAAATTAAATCAAATGTACATTTGTTAAAAGCAAAAAAATTATTCTACAGAAAATCTGTATTTACAATTATTTAAAATTGAGAAATAGTTTGCATTTGACCTACAATAAGTTTCTTGTAAGTCCATTGACTGTACATGTTGCTAAAAAAAATGCATAACTCTGAACTAATTATTAAAATAAGGGGGAAAACAAAGTAACATAAAATATTGATTTTCCTTTTATAAATCAATATTTACTGGAGAAAAAGAAATAAACTAGATTTTAACAAAAGGTTTTGAGGTCAAACTCATGCGACCTCTTGTGGTTGTATTGGGAACAACATGTGGCACAGATTTGCAAGTAAAGGGTCCCAAAATAAAGCTGCTGTCTCATCCACATGTTCTGCAGCACCTTAATGAGACTCTGTAAGTGGGTCAGCAATCCTTGAACAAATTTGTTTCTTTGCATGACACTGTCTATGCTTGAGAACAGAATGTACATATGCATATTTGTCAATTGAACTCAAATGTTAATTTATTTCAAATACTTAAACTCGAAATTTATACATTCATCACAGTGATATCTTTCAAGCATGCTTCCTCTGATTATTATGGCTTGCTGTTAATAAAAATCCAACATTTATTTGCTAAGAAAATGAGATTACATAAAAACAATAAAAGAAGTAGTCTTGTTATAATACCCAAACGTCATGACCTTCAATAGGGAAGACATTTGTATCGATACTGGTCCAGTAAACATCCTGACTCCATCTTTATATAACAAAACTACAAAAGGTCAATGATACATAAGCTGGCAGGTTTCAGAGAAAGGAAAAAGAATGTCAGAAATAGTTGTAGAAGCAATAATGATTATTGTAGCCTTCAGAGGAGGCCATGCACGAATATGTTAACACCGTCCATAAGCTGTGGATTGAGTTAAAACAGGATTTGAAGAGACGCCACCCAAGATGTATCCAAGCCCTGGCCTAAAACCGTTGCCTTTAAACCAGAGGCAAAATAATAGAAAAATATGAAAATATATCAGTCTGATTTGATTCTGTAGGAGTTTTAAATTTTTGGAACTAAATCAACCTTTAAATGAAACAATTGTTTTATGATGCACCTGCAAATTGTAGGAAAGATGGGAGCTGTGGTGCACCTCCTTCAAATGATGCAAAACAGTGAGGAAACTGATGTGAGAAACTTTGAACTTTAATGAACAACTAAAATAAAAGTTTTTCAGTACATTTCCCATTTTAATTGAAAATTAGTCGCCATTTTAGATCACAACTCATAGTCATAATTTCTTACTGATGCAGACACTCGGGCACATAAATAAAAGCATGTTTTAGATAAATAATCTTTATTCAAATGTAAACCCAAATGTTGTCAGTTTACTAACTTAAAAAAAGAGTCTGCTTCCTGAGGATTTGTTCAATATCACTTAAGAATCATCTGAGAGAAATTTACATAAGAAGGAATAAGGCAAAAGAATCCAGTAGATCAATGTGATTGGCCAAAAATACTTTTCCCCTGAACCTTAATGGTTGTTTTTGACACGAGTGAGATGACTTTTGCCCTGGGCAGCAAGTCCTGGGAAAGGGAACATTTGCTAGGAAGTCATAAACTGAGCTGCCCATGAAACAAGTTTTCTTTTGTGTAAGAACTTTGTGAAGATATATATAGATAACGAGACAGAGGTAACTAAATGTCACAGAGTGTTTTTCTCAATAATATAACCCAAACGTAGTCGTGTCTCGCTGAAAATCTGAAATATACTCAAATCCAATTGACGCGTCTAAAAAAGTTCAAGACGAAATACAAAACCACATTTTTAATTGGTCTGATAAATTACTAACTGAAAAGTTACTATGCTGTTTTTTTGTTTTGTTTTTTTTTTTCAGAGAATTAGCCATTGGGGTAGTGGGTTTGTGTTTGGTTGTATGGGGGCTCTAATATACTCAGAAGTAAACTTTCCCATTTAGCATAGTTGTCAGGACTTTGACTTTGGTCCATATATTGTAATTATGAAGAAAGAAAATTCCATCACCTAAGTACAAAAATAATAAACTAGAAACAATTCACTTCGAAAAGTGCCCTGTAAATTGTTTTAAAAATTACTTAAAATCGTACCTTGATAAATAATAAGCACCCTATCCTTAAACATCACAAGGTAAAACATGTAAATTTTCTAACTTATATGCTTCCTATATACATGTCAGAGACTGATGCTGACACGCCGTCCTCCTCTTAAACGTCATGCTCCTCCAGAGCAGACTTCAGGGCCTCCTTGTTGTTCTGCTCATTGTCGTGCTCCTCAGAGGGAAGTGGGTCATACGTCCTGCGGTACAAAGACCGGGTGACGAGGCTGATGATGAACATCTCCATAATCATTATCTGCTGACTCAACACTGCAGAGACCACACAGAAAAGTCACACAAAGAGAAAAAGACGTGATACAAGTTGTGATATTTCAGCTGAACTCGCTGAAAACCGTTTAGACTCTGTCTCTTACTGGATCCACGAGCCAGAGAGGAGAAGGGAGGGGCGCAGGCGATGGCTCCGTTTAAGGCCAGGATGTTGATGATGGATGTCTGGAGCTGACTCAGGATAAGTATGAGCTGAAAAGAGCGTGAATAATTCATCAGATATCCATGCAGGTGGAGTAACAATGTTTACAGTGTTGTAGCTCTTGAAATCGACAACGTGTCAGGCAAAACTGACTCTGTATCAATTTCCCCTATCTTGCACTTGTGGCAAAGTGACAATGTAGCAACCAATGAGGAAGAATTACAAAAATGTATATTGTGGTCTACATATGCTACTGACAGGGTGTGCTTCTGGTGGTGCAGGGGTTAAAGACAACCCACATATGAAGACCTTAGTCTTCGACGCAGGTTCAATTCCTGGCCTGGTGACCTTTGCAGCATATCTTCCCCTTCTCTCATTACCTGCTTTTCTATCAAGTAAAGGCCACAAGCACCAATAAAATTTGAATTTATATATATATGCTACCAACATTGCATCCCCAAGTTGCAGTGTGATGCTGTGGACATGGTTTCCTTACAGTTACATGGGAGCTAGTCTGAGTTGGAAAATGGGTGGATCTAAAGACAGAGTAGTGCTTTAAGTACTGAATATTTTGCAAATCCCAAAAAGCTTGTAGCTGCAGTATTAGGAAAATACATTTATGAAGCATAAATATAAAGCATCAATATAAACTTCACTTTTTTGAATTATCTTAGAGAAACATGTCAGCATTGGAAACATTTCATTCTCTAGCAAAAACAAGAAAACTAAACATTTTAAAAACATTAAATTCCACATTGTTTTACAGAAGCAAAACAATGTTTTTCTTACTTTATCACAAAATATCATTCCATAAATCAGAATAACTGACTCACTTGGTACATAGCATACTTAGGAATGATTTTCAGACTGCGCATGAGGATGTTGGTGTTCATGAAGATGATACCGACAGGCCAAAGGGTGATGACGAGGAGAACACCAATGAATGGGTTGATCCAAATGGTTGCTCCAGTGATCGATAGCTAAAAAAACGAAAGAACATCCTTAAGTGTTCACTTCTTTTTTTGTTGTTGTTTTTTTTTTGTTTTTTGTGAAAAGAATCAATTCAAACTCTTACATCAGCTAGGTTAAAGGTGCCATTTGTCCAGAGAATAACAGAAAGGATAGAGAGAACTGTTTTTAGGATTGCATACTGTAAAGCTCCGAGCTTCAGCAGGAATAACATCCGCCTAAACAAATGCAATGCAAAGAAAAACCAAAATTATTGTTTTCAGTAACAACATATTGCCCAGTGCAGAATGAACAGTTACTCTGAAAGAAACAAATAAGTACTTAAATGAACAAAAGTGGAACATAAAATAAGTAACAATAAGAAGGAGTAAAGAAAAGTAAGCGCACCGTGACATTGGTACATGAGGAAAGCAGACACAGCAGCAACAGCAGGGTCCTGTGTTGATCCTGAACGGTTTCCCAGAAAATCGTTGTAGAAAATCACTGGCGCCCCCAAGCTCCTCAATCAGCAGAACCAGAACCTTGTACACCACAACTGCAAAATAGCTACAAAAACAGTCCATTTAGGAACTAATGCATAACTAAAGTCAGAATTGACTTTCTTTCTGCATCCAATCAGCACATGAAGTCAAAGAGAAAACATATATAAATGAAACTTCCCTCATTAAGCTTCTTCAAAGAAAATAAACATTTAACTAACTAATCAAATATGTCTATTTTTGATCAGAGATAAAATGTACAAAATCGTGACTATTTTTGCCTTTTTTAGTACATGTTTATTCACCTGCACCTTTTGTAAAGTACTTCATCTTTGTTAAATAATTGTTTTAGTGCTTGATGCAAGCAGATCAAGGATGGAAATACAGCCCTCTTCACACAGCCAAAATTAAAAGTTGCATTTAGAAAAATTATTGCATCTCTTCTGGTCATAAAAAAATTAAATAAACAAAAAATCAAACCACAATAAATCTCTTGAAAAATAATCATCTTCCACAACACAGCAGTATCTGTCAACAAACCTTCTGCCTTATTCAAATTTAAAGATTTTTGCAAGAAAAAGTGGTTGAAATCTTGAGAGACAAAGTCTGTTAAACACAAACATTGTTCAGTTTATGGAAGAAAAAATAAACAATATTGTGCTGTGTTAATTGTATCCACTGGCTTTGAGTCAAACTGAATCATCTGTTTTTTATAGAAGAAGCAAGAGAAACTTTCTGTTCTCCATGCAGATTGAGCTTTGACCTTTGAGTGTAAAGATTTATCAAGCAATTAAAATTACACTATGAACTCCAGGTGAGGTTTTGTGACTTTTATATTTATTATTCTGCGGCTATTCACCCCAAGCAGTCTTCTAGCAACAAACACAGTGGCTAACCTTGGTATGCTACAGGAATACAGGTTGTATATGTAGCTGAAACTGCTCTCCTTCAACTGTTGTGCAAAGGATTAAAGTAAAGCTTACATAGACGGAATACTGATAAATCTAGATCTTAAGTCTTTTCTTGGTCATGGATAGCCCTTTTCAGTGTCATGTAATAGAAATTTAATGAAAATAAGAAGAGCTCTAAGCGCTCTAATTTACATCCAGTGGATCTGGGATCCATGTGGGAACACAACAGAATGAAAAGAGAGCTCCAAGCTGGCTTGTACACAAGCTGATTGGTTGATTTTGAATTCTTTGTGCTAATTTGGTGATTAGAAGTTATAATAATTAGTGCTAAAAATGGGCTGCACAGTGGCACAGAAGGTCCTGGGTTTGTGTTTAACTCCCGACCCCAAGGGTGTTAGAAAATAGATGGATAGTGCTAAAAAGTTAGATTCTTATGTGTTGAGAAATATAAACAAAGTTTTTTAAAATCCATTTGAGGTCCATCTGAGACTACCTGCCTTTCTTGATATGAGTTGTATTTAACCAACCCAAGAGAGCCCTATACAAGAGTCCACGTTTAAACAAAGATCCACTTGGCCTGAACAGTCTCATATGGGGCCTTCATGACCTTGTGGGGTCAAAGGAATGGAGCAAAAACACACCAGTTTGATGTCATGTCTGTGATCATAACAGCGCGGGGAACCCACATCCCACAGCAGGCCATGGTGGCGATGACCTGAGACACAAAAAATATAGAAACACACACAAATATGTCACACGCAATCCGCATTACTGAATTTCTCCCACAGTCCAAAAACATGACTGTTAATTAGATTAATTGGTCTCTCTAAATCTCTAGGTGTGTTGTTTTTGTGTTCTGTTTTTTGTGCTTCAAGTCAAAAAGTATCCGGTTTTCAGTGATTGTATGAGTGTCCTTAATGCTTACTGGTGCAGCACCACTTATCCAGATAATGGTGGTCTTCTTGGGATAGGACACCTTTTTGTAAATGTACACACACTGCTCCAGGTACAGCAGCAGGGTAACCAAGGACATGAAGGAGAGCATGGAATAGAGGCAAATCCCAAACACATCTAGCTCTGGGGTGGAAAAATAGAGAAACAAGAAAGGCGGAAGGAGATTGGATTATTTATCAGTAGAGAGTAAATGGATAAGATAAGTCAGTACTTTCAGAGACAGAGACTAATAAAGGCCAATGTTCAGTAAGAGTTCATGTCATTAGCTCAAACTGATTGATAAGAAAACATAATCGCCAAGCAGGATGTTGTAATGTGGATCACTTACGCATTATCATGTCCAGAGCCAGTGGAGGTTCCTGTAGACACTCCGGATTAATCGAGGCTTTCGTGGCTTCATCCATGGTGGCCAGATAGTCTTCCTGAAAGCTTATATTAAATGACTGCAGCTTGGAATAGAACCAGTGGTAAAAATAAAATAAAATAAAAAAACGCAAGAGGCAATCCGCCGCTCCTTTCACATTGCAAGTAGATTCTGGTTACAGAGACAACCTTGCCTTTTACACTTCAGGCATGTGTGATGAAATGACGGAGGACGACATCTAGCTCACAGGTTAACGTAAAAATACCAGTTACTGTTGCTTATTCATTCACAGTCTTGAGTCATAGTAATTAGGGAAGCATCAAGGACAGGGGTTTAGTGAATAGGGAGAGACAGAGCATTAAAGAGGAGGACTGGACTTTGAGAGGGTGTGTTGATTCCTCAGCTGAAAATATAAAAAGAGTGTAAAGACATAAAAGCAATTTTCTCCAGCATTTTACAACTTACATTTATTACACCACAATAATTTGGAGTCAAATTTTGTCCACAGTTTTCAATACAAACTAAGTTTAAATTAAGCAGCTTTCTTAATTTAATATGAATGATGGGATTGCAAGAGTTTAGAGAAAAAACAAACAAAAAAACATTTTAGCCTTTCACACGTTTCCTATTACACTTGTAAGCACATCAATAATAAGAGCTGATTATTTTAAAATCTTGGATAATGTGTAAACTGTTACTCTACTTCCTATTTGCAGCTGTTGTAAAAAGAACAGTATTGAGTGACACTGGGGCCATTGACCTTATCTGGTTGTTAAGTTTGTCCTGTTAATAACTCTCCATGTACATTTTCTCTGGAGAAAAGGTCAGTTTAACACACATCTTGTCTGTGAGAATTTTAAATACCTATTTGTTTCAAAAAAAGCTATCAATTAAAATATTTGCTTAAAGCTAAGGTCCAGATTAAAGAACCTGTGAGAAAGTGGGACGTACCACTTTGGACAAATCACAATCAATGGAAAACTTGCTGATACCAAAACTATTACAATCGTCCAATATTGCTGCAAGAAATAAATAAATAATTATGTCCTGGAAAAAGACACAAGAACCTGACATTAAAAATACAACTTTCTCTTAGATCTCTTTTAATGGTGTGTAAAACAAAAAGTAAGATATTTTCAACATGTCTGCAAAACCATTATCAGCCTGGTTCAGCTGCTGATTAAATTAAAGTTCGAGTCAGAATCAGACAGTGATCCTGCAACAATATTTACCAAAGGCAGCTTCCAATGTCAATATTCAAGGAAGTTGGGTGATTGTGTGATGGGTTTCAGAAAATAAAGATGCTAAATTGTGTAAAGTTGCCTTTACTACACAAAATGGCAAAGAACAATCTTCAACCCCCCCCAAACATTTAGTGCAAGAAGATTACCAGTAAAAAATGAATGGGTATATATAAGTCCAAAAATAAATTGGTGTGATTATAAAAATATATTACTTTTGATGAAAGCTAAATCTTGACACTCTAAGCCATCTTCAGGTCTCCACCTAATCAAACATCCCATAATTGAACATGAACCATCAGATGAAGTGAGTTTGATTGCAAGTTTGAAGAAATAAACTTTCTAAAAAGAAAAAATATGTATATTTTTAATTTAAGTCTCAAATTGTTCAAAAATCAATACCTTAACTGAAAATCAAAATGAAGTAAAATGTTACCTTGGTGGCCAAGGTGGTGAATTTCAATATGAATAAAAAAATAAATAAAATTAAAATCATCATCTACCATAGTATACACCAACTTATATAAAAAAAGTTTATCCATTAGGCAATTCTTGTTAATCTTGGATCATAAATATTATAAAACACACAAACAAAAGTTTTTACACAAATTCCCAACCTTACTCAGTCACCTGAGGAAGGACAGTCACTTCATCTGACTGGGATGTCAATAACCTCAGATGTGTCGCGGTGATAAAATCTGAAGACGTCAGACTCTCACAATGAAGAATATCATCTTAAATGTGCTTTAATAAGATTTATTGTTACAAGTCCAAATATTGTCGCATCAACAGTTTGTGCAATAAAAAAGCAGTTATTTACAAATTTAAATACATCAGCAGCTGAAGCAAACAAATTGTGCTTTAAATATTCAGTCAGTGCAGTAAGACATAAATATCAGTGAATTCACATCAGATGGCAATCTAGAAATCAATTATCAGTCAAAGCCCATAAGGAGCTGTGCTTCATTACGACTAAAAGAAATGTATTCATGAAAAAAGGACCGGCAATACAGAGTGGAGTACAATTGTTTACACGCTCGAGATATAAAAATCTTTCCTTATCTGTCCGTACTGGTTTTGATTCAAGGACGCCTTGAACCAAAAAGCCCCGGACCTTTCTGAATTCATCACCAGATTTAATTGTACCTTAGTATTTTCCCTTGCTTTTTGCTTTCAAATAAATAAACGTTGCACTATAAAAACATGAAGGTAAACAGAGGAATGAAAAGTTGTAGTCACATCAATAACTACAAGTCATGCTTCTGAAATCATCCAAATGTTCCCATCTTTGGCTCTTGCATTTTCAACCAACATCATGAGTGTTTCTTCACCATTCAGAAAGAAGAAAAGGTATGAAATATGTAAACAAAACAGGGTTTAAAATATTTTCAAACATATTGTAAACTAAAAGTTTGAGACCATCCGACAGTTTATTTCAGGCCCTCATGATCGAACCGTGTTTGTAGTGAAACATTTATAAGACGTGACAGACAACCGACGATGTTAGTCTCTTATCATTCAAAACTTGTAAATCAAATCATACTTTAGTGGCTCTATAAAAAAGAACCTGATTGAAGCCTTAGCGTTGAAACATTAGTTAATACTGAGAGAAGATGAATCTCTTGATGAAATGTATGCTGGTTACTATGTGCAGACATCGAAAACGCTCTCAGAGATTTGTTTTAGATGAAACCATTAATAAAAAATAAAGTCTTTTAGCCGCTACAAAGACAAAATCCCAAATCTCTGACAAGCTTCAGACTGTTGCAGTCTACAAAGTTGCTGCAGAGAGTTTGTTGTCATGAGAACAGTGTTGTTTTTGGTGCCACGGATGGTCCTGGAGGTATCGATGTTCCTCGTTTAAGGCAATGCCCCTGATATAAAGACAGAGGACGGGGTCACCTGCAGGGGAGCGCCGCAGAATATAAGTGAAGGAAGCAAGAGAACAAAACGCCTTGAAATGCTAAAGCATGTCAACCTGTACCTTTCAAGGCTCACTGTCCATCGTCACGGCAAGCATCTGACCTCCATCTGAAACAAAATGTTCAAAAACATTTATGTTCAGTTTTGTTCAGTCCGTGGACCCATCGTTTTTACAATGATAAATTCTATCATGATGATTATGGCAAAGTCACGTGTTCTTGCGAACACTAATCATTTCACCATTGAGAATTTATATTCAGCATTTAATGTAAACTACAAAACAAAAACAATGATTTTATTATTGGCTTTTAAGTCTCCAAACACTGAATGGATGTTGGTTACAAACTCCAAAAAAAAAGTAATTAATAGCAGTCCATTAATCCTCTTTGTCAACAACATAGCAGTTGGGGTTATTTAATTTATTTAAATTGAGTTGTGTGGTCATACTGCAATAACGTGGACGGCCAAGTTGATCAAAACAAATGAGAAAAACCTGAAACTACAATAAAAAGAGAAAGATAGAGAAGTATTAAGTCTCACTTTTTATTCAGTGGAATAAAAATTTAATCGAAACAGCAGTTCTCCTCCCTGTTCTCAGATGTGGCCATTTATAAATCAGACATATTTTGCCCAGCAGTGATGCTGAAAAACTAGGCCATACATTTGTTATTTTAAAATGACTTTTTCTATTAAAATCACATTAAAATTCAAACTTCTCGTGTATAAATATCAAGCTCCATCCTACATTAGAGATCTGATTGTTCAACATGTAACAAATGTACCAAAATTGCAAATGATTTGTTTTGCAAATATGAAAACAGGTACAAAAATGTTGCAACGTGGAAGACAGAGCTGTAACTGAGTGAAAAAACAAAAGTAATCAAAAAAACAAAAAGGAGATGCATACCAGTTTTCTCTTTGTTTTTGCTCACTGAGTGAGGCTCATCATCAGCAACCACAGAAAGGTTGGTCTCTCCAGCAACAGGACTGTGATTAAATTCACAACAGAAATTAGAACAATTGTCCAAAGGAAAAAGATCAAAATTTGAATGTCTGGAAAAAAAGAAATACAAACATTTTTCCATTCTGCTGGAGGACACTGTTTGCTTGTTCAGGATCTATGTGGACCAGTCTGGTGACAAAGGAATGGCCGTCTCCCTGACTGAGGAACATAAAAAAAGAGAAAATGTATTTTCAGTCAGGCAGAATGCTTATTTCTAATCAGAAATAAGAAAACCTTAAAACAATGTAAATGAAGCATACATTTTGAAAAAAACATTTAATCAACAAAACCTTCATGTTGGCTGTTGCCAACAAATGTTTTTTTTAATATTTTCTACATCTAATGTAGAAAACTGTGACAAATGTGCTCACAGTGGACAGGAAATAAGATTTCCCTTATTTTAATTCTGTAAAAAATAATAAACCAAATCTAATTTTTTTTTCACTTTTGTGACTAACACTGAAAGTCATGCTAAAAGTTAAAGAGTTTAATTAAAGGCAAGAATATTTTCAAATCTGGCAGATTTTGATTGAAAGTCATTTTTATTTAACAATAACTTTCCACTGATATCTTTGACTGATTATCTTAAGTATTATCTTTATTTGCCTCCTCAAATTCTCTAAGCGATTCAAAAACATTACTTTTACTTAATAAGAAGAAATATTTGTCGGTCAACTGAAAATGTTACTGTGAACCTTAAGCAACCGTGGAAGAACTACTTTTAAGCCCAAATGCGACAGCACCAATAATTTTTTGGGCGTTGTGTGATACTGGCAGACTGACCTCGAGAAAACTGGGAGAATCCAATACTTTGCCTCGTCTCCAAATACGTCAGCTACGTTTCGTTTAAAACCCAGGGAGAAGCCGTTTTTGTCTGGACCATTTGCAAAAACAGGAGCTCTGAAAGCCTCTGGAAAAAAATATAAATATATATAATTATTATTATTTATTTAGTCAGCGATGAATATTTAAGGAAGGATCAAGAAGATGAATCAAAGCAAATGACTGGTTCATATTTACCTATAGTGGTTCTGTTCTTCCCCACAAGCCACATGTGATAGCTGTAAAGTGATACTATGCTAATGAAGAAGAGGGCTGCCACAAAAAACAGAAACAAGAT